CATTTCCCATTGCCGCTTCTCACGACACCCGCGTGAAGAAATGGGTACACTCTTATACCGCCAACACATTACGCCATAATTTTATCTTTTCAATAGAGATTCGCCTTTAAAAATATTCGACTTTAAAGTTTAAATTTATAAATGAAAAAATGTGCGATCATTATTTGTTGCTTTTAAAACACATTCTACTAGCTAGCTATGTGGTGAATAAGTATATTAATATGCATAATTCGCATCGCATTTTTATAAGCATAACAATATAAATAAGTAAATAGAAGCTACAAATTATATTTACCATACGATCACTCACCATACGAAACACAGCAGTTTCACACTGCTGTGTTTCGTATGGTGAGTGTAGAAAACCGGAGAACCTTTTTACTGAAAAAGAGGCATTCAATCTTAGTCCTCACGGGTGACAATGCATCTGCTATTTGATTCGAAAACAAGAATAGATGTAGTTGTCTATAGGCCACAGCAACCACTTACCTTCAGGTGGACTGTGTGCTCGTTTGTCACGACGTCCTATAAAAAAATTTTTGGACGCGACTTTAGGATTAAACGTTTAATAAAGCTATCATTGACGAATTTAATTTAATCCGAAGGGTCCAATATATGTTTGTACTAGAACTAAATGGAGTGGCGATCTGGTAAGGGATGCAGGAAGTCATTGGATGCAAAAGGCTCAGGACCATGATTTGTGGCATTCCTTTGGGGAGGTCTATGTTCAACAGTGATTCAGATGGACTGTAATGATGATGAAACTATTTTCAAAGTGCTCTTAACAGTTCATCAAAATTTAAATATTGTGTACTTATCATCTTTTTACCACCATGTAATCTCTTTTTGAATGTTATATTAATTCTATTAACTTATCATTTAAAAACAAACGAGTTATTAATTAATTAAACGCAAGCAACTTTAAAAGCCAAATTTTCGACACAATAAGGTCACCGAAATACAAGTTTACATCACATTAATATGTTTAATTTTATTATGAACAGTTTTAATTATCACACAGAAAATGCGAAGCAATGCTAGAACGATTTCGAAATATTTAATTTTTAAAACACAAAGCATCACAAAATCAGGTAAATATCTCGGACATAACCAACTATAGACCTAAATCGTTGGCTACAATGTTAGCAAAGGTGCTGGACAGTCTACTTGATGGGTATTTAAGAAAACATTTGCAGCTACACGATGCCCAATTCGGTTTCCGGTCTGGCTTTTCAACAGAGAGTGCCATTTTGGCCCACAAGCGAACCGTCAAGTACTATACGGACAGAAAAACACCTGTTTATGCTTGTTTTCTAGACCTGTCAAAAGCCTTCGATATGGTGTCCTATGAAATATTGTGGAGTAAGTTGAAAAAAAAAGCGAGATGCCTGTTGAACTTATCGCGATGTTTGAGTATTGGTACAGCTTTTTTTTATAGGATAAGGGTGACAAACGAGCACACAGTCCACCTGATGGTAAGTGGCTGCTGCGGCCCATAGACATCTACATCTATCCTCTATTACAAATCAAAATGCAGATGCGTTGTCACCCGTGAGGGCCAAGATGGAATGCCTCATTCCCAGCAAAAAGGGCCTCCAGCCACCTGCACTCACCAAGCGAAACGCAGAGGTAAACCTCTACTTCACGCTGGTTTTCTGTGAGATCGTGGTACCACCCCGGTTCGAGCCGGCCCATCCGTGCGACAGCAAAAACTGCCGCGTGGCTCTACCACTGTGTAAATGTATATGCATAATTCATTTCTTCAATTAGCGACCCAAAACTCAACTTTTCGCAAATGCAATTTGGTTATTTGATTCGCCTATGCGCAACGCTTAGCGGACGATGTTGATTTTGTATGTGGTCACGATAACTTCCGAAAAAATTGACATATCGAGAGACCGGTTTTTTTTTTATTAGCTTCAGAATTACATCAACTAGTTCCCTATTTCATATCAATAGCCTAGTACGCTTAGTATGTTAATAAAATATTTTCAACTTTTATAAGTTTTAATGCTATAAAAAATTTAAATGCACTTTCATATTTTTAGCCCATGATAGACATAGGACAAATGTACCATTCAGCCTATATCGATTTTATACTTTGCGTATTAGATTTATTTTAATGCGTATTAGATTAAATGAAACGCTCATGAGGATTTGGATCACTTTTGGATTTTCCAAACTATTTGACAACATTTTCAAATGTGCGATCATTATTTGTTGCTTTTAAAACACATTCTACTAGCTAGCTATGTGGTGAATAAGTATATTAATATGCATAATTCGCATCGCATTTTTATAAGCATAACAATATAAATAAGTAAATAGAAGCTACAAATTATATTTACCATACGATCACTCACCATACGAAACACAGCAGTTTCACACTGCTGTGTTTCGTATGGTGAGTGTAGAGAGCCGGAGACACTTTTTACTGGAAAAGAGGCATTCCATCTTAGTCGTCACGGGTGACAATGCATCTGCTATTTGATTCGCAAAAAAGGATAGATGTAGATGTCTATAGGCCACAGCAACCACTTACCATCAGGTTGACTGTGTGCTCGTTTGTCACGACGTCCTATAAAAAAATTTTTGGACGCGACTTTAGGATTAAACGTTTAATAAAGCTATCATTGACGAATTTAATTTAATCCGAAGGGTCCAATATATGTTTGTACTAGAACTAAATGGAGTGGCGATCTGGTAAGGGATGCAGGAAGTCAATGGATGCAAAAGGCTCAGGACCATGATTTGTGGCATTCCTTTGGGGAGGTCTATGTTCAACACTGATTCAGATGGACTGTAATGATGATGAAACTATTTTCAAAGTGCTCTTAACAGTTCATCAAAATTTAAATATTGTGTACTTATCATCTTTTTACCACCATGTAATCTCTTTTTGAATGTTATATTAATTCTATTAACTTATCATTTAAAAACAAACAAGTTATTAATTAATTAAACGCAAGCAACTTTAAAAGTCAAATTTTCGACACAATAAGGTCACCGAAATACAAGTTTACATCACATTAACATGTTTAATTTTATTATGAACAGTTTTAATTATCACACAGAAAATGCGATGCAATGCTAGAACGATTTCGAAATATTTTATTTTTAAAACACAAAGCATCACAAAATCAGGTAAATATCTCGGACATAACCAACTATAGACCTAAATCGTTGGCTACAATGTTAGCAAAGGTGCTGGATAGTCTACTTGATGGGTATATAAGAAAACATTTGCAGCTACACGATGCCCAATTCGGTTTCCGGTCTGGTTTTTCAACAGAGAGTGCCATTTTGGCCCTCAAGCGAACCGTCAAGTACTATACGGACAGAAAAACACCTGTTTATGCTTGTTTTCTAGACCTGTCAAAAGCCTTCAATATGGTGTCCTATGAAATATTGTGGAGTAAGTTGAGGAAAACCGAGATGCCTGTTGAACTTATCGCGATGTTTGAGTATTGGTACAGCAATCAAATAAATAGTGTTAAGTGGGCAGATGAGTTTTCTCATCCGTACGGGCTAGAATATGGAGTGAGACAGGGGGGGTTTAAGTTCACCAAACCTGTTCAGCCTGTACATTAATGACTCAATTGGTGAGTTGAGCAGCATGTATATCGGATTCTATGTAGATGGAGTATGTTTAAACAATTTAAGTTATGCAGATGATATAGTGCTGCTTGCTCCATCTATCAGTGCTCTTTGAAAATTGTTACGTGTTTGCGAGAATTATACTGTTAGACATGGTTTAGTATACAATGCTAAAAAAGCCAGTTTATCGTTTTTAAAGCTGGAAATAAGTGTCTGAAGTATGTGCCTCATATTGTACTTAATGGTACTGCTCTAGAGAGTTTAAATATTTAGGCCACTACATTACTGAAAATTGTAAAGATGATATGGACATCGAGAGGGAGCGAAGGGCACTGTCAGTCCATGGAAATATGTTGATTTGTAGATTTGCACAGTGTAGCAACGAAGTCAAGATTGCACTTTTTAAGACCTACTGCCAATCTTTTTACACATGCAGCTTATGGACAACATATACAAAGCGCGCTTACAGTGACCTTCGTGTTCTATATAATAACATTTTCAGAGCCCTGTTGGGGTTGCCTCGCTTTTGTAGCGCATCAGGTATGTTCGCAGAAGCAAGAACAGATGACTTCTTTGCAATAATGCGTAAACAAGTGTACTCCCTGTTGATTAGAATGTGTGGCAGCCACAACAGTATTCTGAACATGTTCACCGAACAATGTGACGGGCATATGCTAAGTCACTGGAACAGTATATTAAAAAGTAATTTTACATATTTAAGAAACTAACATTAGTATTTAAGGTGTATAATGTATTACTAACAAATTATGGATCAAGGTCTGAAATAAAGGAATTATTATTATTATTATAAGCAAATGATCAAAACCACCAAAAAGAATAAGAAGTTGGAGAGTATTTAAAACAATTTTTTTTTATAAAATCATAGCAGCAAACAAACTTACAATTCACCTAATAGTAAGTGGTTACCACAGCCCATGGACACCTATAACAAGCTTTTAGTAAAGAATGCTAGTTAACTAGTAGTTACTCTATATCCTTCAGAACCCGAACACAATAGTGCAAACACTGCTATTTGGCGACAGAAATAGTTAACGAGTGGGAGTCCTACTACTAGTTAATTACATCTGGGGTACATAATGTGAGTTAAGAATCAAAATATAGTATTATAATAAATATGTCAGTACTCTTTTATGCATATTAGGTCATAGGAATTACAAAAGCTCTTGTAGTCTGATTCTAAAATTAAATTTATATGTAATAGGATTGATAATTTAACTAATTTTATTAATAATATCAAACTATTTGAGGCAATAGCTACAGTGCTAAATATGAGATTTCGTTGCGCAGTTTACCCTCCTGAATTCTTCCCTGATTTCAACAGCATCCTCATGTAGTATACTGGAAGTTATATTAGTAGTTGGTAGAACTTCATAGTTTCTTACCCATTCGTTAGACAAGACGAAACTGTTGACAAGAGTGAACTGTCGGATTTACCAATTGTCCTGTAAATAGCACGGTCGAGTGACGACCGCAAGTCTTCCACTTCGCGTCTAGACAGCTGTAGAGCCATGGTTACTACTGAATCTTCAGATTCAGACTAGATAATTTATAAAATTTGAGGTTACACTTTGAGTACTACACAAAAGCTGATAATTAAATATTAAATGCTTTAAAGTGCAAAAATCAATCCTTATGAACGATCATTTCCTCATTATTTAAAAAAAATCAATATGTATGCATCTTTTTTGTAAATAAAGCAGTTTAGTACGTTTTACGTAGGCAATAGACAAAATTTTTTATTTTGAATTTTGATATTTTTTGTAGGAGTTTATGGCCTGATATCTAGACCTTTAGGCCAAATTTTGATATGGTCATTTCCGTTGGATTATTAAATACTTTTTTTCATTTTTTGTAGTCACTTTGCTCCTTGTTGATATATTAAATTAAATACGACGAAAGTACATAACTTATTATTTATTTGCATAGCTAACAATGCTCTTTTACTTTAAATTATACATTTTTAAATATAGCGCTAAGCTGTAAATAATAATTGGTTAGCAAGTTAATGTTTTCCCATGTTCTACGGAAAATAAGTAGTATTATGTACCCGTTTTTAATTTTATAAACATTATGGCGAAACGTTCCAATTTTACTTCCTTTTAAAATTAAAAATTAATTATTAGCTATATTTTAAAACAGAAATATATAAATAATAACAAAACAAATACTATCTTACTTCAATTATTGGACTTCTTATTCATCTTCACCGGTTCAGTACGAATGGCACGCCAAGCGTGCCATCGATTATTTTTATGCGTGGCGTTTGTCACGCGAGTCGTGTCTTTTTTTTTAAATTGTGATAACTCGCTCAAATTGCGTTTTGGAAAATTTATCAAAAACAAAATATTTATTATTTTGCAAATAGTTCATGCCTACATCTTCGTTTATGGATATTTTGAAAATTTGAAAGTTTTAGGGGTTAACAACCTTTTTTTAACTTGTACATGGTACTCTTTTTACTTTGTGGGTTTTTTAAATCATGTTGTGGAAAAATAGTCTAATAAGTAACAAATACTAGCACTCATTGCGATCGCTCACAAACTCAAGTTGTAAACAAGTTTCTGGAAAATAAGTCTCCTGTTAAAAAAAAAAACAATGCGTTTGTCTTATTGTTTAATTTTCCTTAAAATGGTTGACCTGCCGTCTTATGACTATTATATGGCTGAATAGACCTATGAAGTACCATGTGCTCTTGTGATGTGGTATAAGTTTTGTTTATGCTAGAAACAGTTCGGAACCGTTCATGCATAAAAAAGCTCGCTAATAAATATTATTTTGTCAATTCGCCGCCGTACAGCGCTGGCGTTTTTTTCCTTTTGAAAACACTTGTTTTGCTATTCTTACTAATTAGACAGTTTCAGATCGACTTTACTTTTACATTTGTATAACATTAAATAATATTTAACATTTGTAAATTTCAATGAATCATAAAACTTTTTTTCCCAAAATATGGCTCTTGATTGCTTGATTTTACAAATTTTATTATTAGGTGAAAATTTAATTTAATAAAAGCCAAGGTTTTCCAGTGTGATTTAGGTGTACCTACTTATACATATGATTTTTTAATAAAACAAAAAATAGTACAAAATGTTTGTAATATCTGCATAAAAAAGTCTCTTACTCTCAATTTCAAAGAAATCACGTAGAAAAACACATAGCTACCCACCAAAAGCATGTATTCTTCCGTGTGTAACTGATGTTTGATATCCACTAAACTTAATTAGGTCTAAACAAGTGAAAAAAGCATAAAAAAGAAAATTACTTTTATACATGGCGGATGGCACAAAAGGCGTGTCATCAACTTCTTTGGCCTTTTTGGCATTCGCCGCCACAGCTAAAAGTTGTTGAAAATCGGTGCCGCATTGAGTCGGTTAAATATTCTCTTCTGTATATTTCCAATGCTTAATTAATAATACTTTCATACTTTCAATCAACTTCAATGTAAATCTGCTCGTGCGTTAAAAGTATCGTTATGTAATACTATTATTTATTCTATTGTATCGTGTATGTAGTCGTAGTTGTTTAGGTAGATATAAATATTGTAGTCTTTATTATTAAGATTTGTAAGGATCGTGACACTTGGCGATCTGTTCTCTATGGCTACCCCGTCAGGGATTGTGCGTGAAGGTAAGTTTATTATTAAGGGCAGCGGATTGCTGCTCTTGTATTATTGTTTAAATATTGGTTTGAAGTAGATTTTGATATGTAAATGTGGTGTCATTTTGTGTATTAAATGTGTACATGTGAACTATTAGTGGAAACGGTGCATTGATGGTGATGTGAATCTCAAAGTAAGGTGTCTGCTTAGACGTCTTGAGACACTATCGTAAACTGGCTGCTGGCTCGAGTTGCCGTCAAAATCTCCCAAAAACTACGTATTATCATTGGCGAATTAAAATGCGGATGCGTTGTCAGCCGTTAGGACTACGATAGAATGCCCCGTTTCCAGTAAAGAGGGTCTCCGGTTCTCTACACTCACATATACATATTCTGTGTGAGTGTGGTCCTTCCCCGGTCGAGCCGACCCATTCGTCCTGCAACTATACTATTAACATAGCTGCAGCATGGCTCTACCACGTTTTATTTATCTATGGTCTGGTTAGTTGTTGTTTGCTTGTTTGTGGTTGTTTGCCAATTGCTTCATAGTTCATAGATAAATATCGTAGATAGAGGATTGACTAGATAAAGCATTCGCGTATGCTTTTCAGATAGAAATAGGCGGGAGGTACTTTCACTGGGTTACCAGATATTGTTCCATTTCCCCCGTTATGGGTTTATTTATATTCACAGCACTTACATTCATACAAAAAACTTAATTGTTACCATAAAAAAATGTTCTTTTATAATTCAGATGATTAATTAATTTCTCTTGAAAATACATTCTGTGACTAAAAACTACGGGCGGAAACGGCGTAAAAACAGAATCATCACTCTTTGGATTTCGACGGCACTAAGTGAAGGCGCTAATAGTACAAAGTGTGATATCGCTAATAAATAACAATATGTTATGTATGTGCTTAAATATTAATTGAGAATAAAAATATTAAATAATAAACAAAAATTTCCTTGTGTCGAGTTTTGTTGTTTTTACAAAAAAAAAAAACAATAATGTTTTAACATACCATTCCATCACAAGTTCAGTGCTGAACACAGACCTTCGAAAGGAAAGGGTTTCCACTTAGGTTTTGTAGTACAAAACACGATTATGAGCCTACTCCCGCGATTTCCTGCATGTTTTGCTAAGTTAGTGTCTTGTGTGCGGCAAGTTGTGGCGTACAAGAGAATTTGTCTGTACACGAGATGATATTATCCCGCGTCGTAAGCAATAATACAAGATGGGGATGGGGCAGAAGCACTTTCCCGATGAAAACTTAAAATAATAAATAACTGCGTTGGCTAACCAGCATAACACATATTTTCACGCAGGCGTGGCAACTATGGCAAAAGTCATCCTATGAGGATATCTATGGAAGGCCTTTTTAGGTGACTTACTTATGGTTAGGTGGCTACTGTTTACCTTGGTTAGCTATCTACTTATAACTGATTGTAGGGAATTGAGACCGGCCGTTAATCATGTTACCTAATGGTTAAGGTGGTAAAATGTTTAGTTAATATAAGTTGTAAAGCATTAACAAAGGGTTTGTTTTTGTAATATGTTGGTATATAAAATAAAAACGAATGTTTTATAATATTCTATTTTAATTTACCATGCAGTGTAAGATTATCTGCTATCTCATATCATTCCATGGGTGGTGTATGAGGCGACATAGGGAAACATCAAAGAAGATAAACAGAAGCATTGTCCTGATAACAGCTAAATAAAAAAACAGTGGTTGACAACCCGCTTTCCAGGCGTTGAAACTATGCCAAATAACTATAATCATGTTTATGTTCAACAGTGGACTTTTGAGAGACTGTAAAGATATATATTCTATTTAAATGAAAATATATTGAAATTTAAAAAGGAAAAAGAACTAAATTTTATGTACTTACACAACATTTAGAAATATTAACAATGTTACATTAAGTAAAAGAAATGAAAACACAATTATATATAAATATAATTAAATAAAATCAAAATAAACAAACGATTACTTATTAATTTTTGATCACATTAATAAACAAAAAATTTTTGTCTTCTTTCCTTGTAATTCTTGGTTTGAGTAGCTTTAGAATTTCTTAAAAAATGTGCATTTGTTAACTTGATTTATACTTTTGCATGGCAGAAATTCTTGGGTGCTGGTCGTTAGAATTGGATGAGAAGGGAGTATATATATATATATATATATATATATATATATATATATATATATATATATTTATTATTTGCCTTGTATATAATATATTGTAATGGTATAAATAATAAGGTACAACTCCTAAACTATACTTAGATAGATAATACTTATCTCTAGTCAAAAACATCTTAAGTACATTATTTATGACAATTTAATAGAAATTATCATAATTATTACATTTATTTCTTAATTTATTTACACATTAATGTTTATAACACCTTTAAAAGGCATTAAGGGTGGACTAAATGTCCCATTGGTAGGCATTCCCAGTCAGTTTTACAATTATTATTGCATAATAAATTATTCATTTGTATATTTAGGTCAGGGCTTTAAATTACTTATTTATTTCTTTTATTTAAATCTTTATTTGCATAAAACATGGTAGTACAGATTAAGTTCCAACATTTGTAAATAAAGATTAATGTTTAATCAATATATCTATAAGTAAATATTTTGTCATTGTCATGCCACCCAATTATTACAAGTCATAATAATACAGAATGTCAGCATTTGAAAATAAAATAAGCAATACTAGTCAATTTTTAATACATTCAGAACAATTTCAAAAATCATAACTACCAACAAGATCAAACTTATATCACTTATGGAGAAACAACAAGATACAACAAGAAATTATAACATTTAAAAAAATTATCTTAATTATATTATAAATTACATAAGTTAAGCATATTTTGTCCATCTAAAACAATGAGGCTTAAAATATTTTGAGCTTACACAGCTAAGTTTTGTTGGTTACCTATAATCACTACCAGTAGCGATTATCCAACTGTTACGGATAGCTGATTCCTTAGGAAAGCTGTGAAATAATATATTTAAAAGAAATTAATATATTAAATATATAGTACACTTTTATATCAAGGTATTTAACAAAAAGAAATCAAGTATGTGTATCTGTGCATAAATACAATACCTATAACAATTAAAAAAATATCAATTGATTTAATTAAATAGCAAGTATATGTAAATGTAATGATAATATTATTCATACCAAATATTTAAAAAAATTATGTACATATTAAGCTTTAGATATTGTTAATTAATACATTTACAGTCTAACAAATGTCCTCCACCGCTGAAAATAGACCTCCCACACAGTTTGTCCCCAAATAACTGCAGTTGCCAATTCTCCTGCCAAGCTAGGCAACTATCACAAAACCTATAACTTTTGATACTGACTAATGGTAACGGTAAGTATATTATCATCAAATTTTTTCTACATCATTAATTGAGAATATTATCTTATGTTGTTGTGTTATTGTGTACCTTAAGATTAAGACTTGTTTATTTATTTATTATTTTATCTATATTTATATTTATTTTTATATTAGCATTACATATTTTTTAAAATAAATATTGTAATGTAATTGTTGCTAATGTATAATAGAATTAATGGAATGCAATAAAGTCTGATTTCAGGCAATACATATTTTGTGAAATTAAATATACTTTGCACAATATTTATGTACTTGAATCCAAACGTGTTTTCAGGTTGATACTTACATATTATTTGTGACGTCTATGTAATATGGAAAGTGATTGAAGAGTTGTAGGACAATAAGGAGTTTCCTTTAAAGCTGAATATAAAAGTGTATGTATATGTATAACATTATGTGATTCATATTTATAGACATAACTACTAATTACAATAACAATTATTATTGAACAATGCGAAAACATTATTGTACTCGCTGATATCCCTAAACTGTCTATAATACCAAATCAAAAAGTACACGTTTGTTATGACTTTAAGCTTTCGAATGACCGTTCAAATTAAGGAGCATTATCATGAAGAGTCCAAATATTTGACAAAATATATCACAAAGTTCATTAAAAATATGAAATGTTACACTTTATATTCAAAACAATAGATATTAATCAGTACAAGTAGCAAATGTAAGCACAAAACAAACTTACCGATGAAAGGTAATATTATCAATTTTTCGTTGACTGATGCTGTTGCATCCTAAAATGCTACAACTTACCATCTTTTTCACCTTACCTAATAACTAAGACCCACAAAAAACACTTAATTCAATTACCTGTTTGCTTATAATATCAATATTATTCAAAAGAGCTTGACACCGTTAATGTCAAATAAAGGAGGGAAAACAATCAAAAACGCATACCTAGAAAAAGACAAGAAATATAGATTTGCTTCTCCCTTACTCTTATGTCTAACTGTATACGTGCACTCCTTTCACACGCTGATGACGTCACTGAATGTTTAGTCTATAAGATACTATGTCTATGATAAATATATATGTAGTGTTTCTATATAGCATAGAGTAGAGTAGAGTAATATAGCTATATAGTTTGTGATATGCAGCAAGGCAAGCTAAATTGCTTGCTCCTCTTGTTTGGTTACCTACATATATTTATCTATGGTTACCTATATTGTTTACTTTACTTTATTCTCTTTGAGATCAAAGGTTTTTTACTGATGAAAGTAGACTTTAAAATAAATCAAAATTTCACTTAAGTGTGATAATTTCAATATTGTTACAATATTCATAGGTACTGTTTAGAAAATATAACAAGCATAACCTAAAAATGTCTGATGATGAAGAAGTGGTAATAAAGAAGAGCAAACAGGTTCACTATGGATCACTGGAGGAGCAAGAAAAGGCTCGGCTGGCGGCGCTTGCTGCAGCCGCCCGGGAAGGAGTTGAAGAATCAGATGGAAAAGATCTTGGAGATATTCAGATATCCAGTGGTAAGAGTCAGAATGAACTATAAAAGTTGAATATTTTATCATTTGGCACATAATCTTTCATAATTTTCATCCAATATAGACATAAAACGCAAATTTTCTTTTATATGTATTTGAATCATATTGGACACACAATTAAAAATTAATCAGTTTGCAGTTTTTTTTAAATTATAGTATGTGACAAACGAGCATACAGTGCAAATCACCAACGTCATTGATCAGGAATCAAAATACTGAAGTATTACTGGTAATGCTGTGGGACTTACATTGAACTGATATACAGTTAACCCCCAATTATTTTTGAAATAAAAGATGCACTGTATAGGTGTTTTTGTCAAGGTCTTAACCTGAAACTTGCTTGGCTGCCAAATGATAGTGGTATACATGACAACGAAATTGTTGATTCCTTAGCAAAGCAAGCATCTACTTCTGGTACCCTCATGCATCATATAACATATACTCATGACCTTATTTCTCTTGCGAAAATCCATCAGATGTCAGATTGGAACTCTCTTTGGAAAAAACTCAGAAGTCTCTCGGTAAATATTATGCAGAACTCCAATCTGACATCCCCTCTAAACCATGGTTTTTTAAATTTAGAAATGGCTCCAAACATAGCACATCTGTCATATGTGGAATTAAATTGGGACACACTTGTTCATCTGTATTTTTGTCAAAACTTAAGATTAAAGATAGCTCAATTTGTGAGTGTGGATTAGACGAAGGTACGATCAATCATACATTTTTTAACTGCCCTAACCTCTCCGTTTCATTATACGATTTTCTTCCTAATAACATCCCTCGTCCTGTAAATCTTAAGTCTTTGTTAAATACACTACTGTAAGGTACACTCGTTTTGTACAAATTTTACGAGAATTCATATCCATTAATAACCTTAAACTATAGTACCTTTGCCACTTACCTATATTCATATTATTATATTAGCAATAATATTGTAAAAATATTATAAAGTTAATTCATTCGAAAATAACTACATAAGTAAGTTCGTAACATAAAGCTAAGTAAGCGCATCTACGGAAACGGAAACTAGTAAATACTCTGTGTGACTGTCATGAAATACTTGACGCTAGCAGAATCCATTGGAAGTTGCTAAACTAGGAAAAAAAACTCGCAGTAATCTGACAAACATTTTGCAAGGTGGTGTTGGATTACCAAATTTGTCTGACTATAGAGTACTGCCACATCAGCACCCTGGCAGTTCTGAACTTTTTGAAAAAGAGTACCTTGTAATCCGATAAATTATATTAAATATAAGATAATAAAAAATAAAAAAATCATGTGAAACACAATGAACACCTAAACACTAAATAATGAACTCCTGCTAGGCCGCTACCATAGTCAAATTTAGCGTTGCCAGGCGTCCGGATAAAGCAGGGCAGTCAGGCTTTTTGCTGTGTGTGAGGCCAAATTAGACAATGTCGGGCATGTCCAGCTTTTGTTGAGAGTTTTTTTTAATTTAACCACCTTTGTTTACATTTGTTATGTGTTGGTTTCCACTACGCCTGCCTCAACTTGTATCACAAGTGAGTGAACTTGCTATGTCTCCAACTTCCGAATGGAATGGTTGCTTCAATGATTGGTTCCATCGTATGGAAAAATGTGTCAAATTTCGCGGAGAATACTTCGAAAAGCAATAAATACATTTTTAAATAGTAATGTTGTGTCACTTCTTTGATTCCCGAAATTTTCAGTGCCCACCTCATAGTAGTTACTGCTAACTATTATTGCAATTAATGTAATGAAAATTGAATTATTAATAATAAAGAAGACTGATTCATTTTACTGTCGTTTCACAAGAATTTAAGGTTTTTCGGTAAATGGTAAAAAATACTTGTTTCACCTCAAAAAAAATTGTGTCCGGTGTTTTTACCCAAAAGTTTGCTAGTGCAAACTAGTTACAATTTGTTTGTCCACATATTTGTTGCATCTTTTAGCAATTGTGCAACTTCTGGATAAGTTGACCAATTGAAATACAATTAATGATAAACATTTATTTTATTGAGGAGATGGTTTTAAACTATACTAGGGTCTAATAGCACATGAGTAAAGAAACCGTACCGTACAGAGGCAAAGCTTCATACAACCGCGCTGTGATAGGTACACTATTACAAGAGGCGTGTGTGTGCATGAGCACTGGCGGCTTGTCACATACAGAGAGAAACTGCTTTAATCCGGCTCGGTCAGTGCTCAAACTCAGGGTTGTGTAAAAATAATAAGTGTCAAATTTTGTTTTTCAAAGAATTATTTGTATAAAATGAAATGTAAAAAAGTATAAATATGGTTTCAACCTACGTGGATTTAAATATTATTGAGGTTGTCGCAAGAGATACTGCTAATTATGTAAACAAAATCAAAAAAAATGCTTGATTTCTTACACTAAATTACACTGCAATCTCCTAATAAATATAAAAGAGTTTTTCGATGCGATAGTTATCAAATGGAGTTTTTAGAAGATATACTAATATTTTCAGGAACTTAAAATCAATAAGAAATGATAGGCAGAAAGACATAACAAACAGCATGAGTTTTATTCATAGATTCCAAGTGTCTAGAAAAATCTTTAATAAAACTTCATGAAGAATTAAAGTCAGAACAAATTAAATTTATTTATATTTACAAGACATCTTAATCAAGATTGTCTCGAAAATTTCTTTGGAAAAGTCAGACAGTCGGGTGGTAACTGCCAGGAACCAACATGTCGACTAGTTAGTATTGCCTTCAATAAGATGTTTGGAACCAATATTTTAGGGAAACCACAAAATACTAATTGTGACAATTTTATTGTGATCTATGTGATCATTTTTTTTCCTGACAATTTTATCGCGTTTGTTGAATTGCTTGAGCAAAAATTTCGCGAATATTTTGACTTCGAAAGAAACATTATAAATGTTGGTAGTGAAATATTAAAACGTGTGCAAGAGTTTATATTTCTTATAAAATGCGAGTGCTTTACAATAGATTATTTAAAAAAGAAACTTTACATTAAATTTAGAAATTACCATTTAATGAGGGCTAATAATCTTCCACTCACTAGATGTCGCTAGTTGTGACTGAGGAAAATTTTTTGTTACACAGTGTCACAGTGTGAGAAATTTGTTTTAAATAATAGTTTATCATTATCTATTATGCTCAATGACCTCAATAGTGTTTCCCAACGGATAGGTCTTAAGATGAACATGGACAAAACAAAGATCATGTTTAATGTCCATGTCACACCTATGCCGGTAGTTGTTGGGAACACTAACCTCGAAGTTGTTGACGAGTATGTTTACCTGGGACAAATAGTCCGACTAGGTAAGTCCAACTTCGACCGAGAGGTCAATCGACGGATTCAACTCGGTTGGGCAGCGTTCGGGAAATTACGACACATCTTCTCGTCAGGTATACCTCAAAACTTGAAAACGAGACTGTACACCCAGTGCGTGTTGCCAGTGATGACATACGGAACTGAGACGTGGTCCTTCACTGCTGGCCGGATGCGGAAGCTCAAGGTCGCTCAGCGAGCTATGGAGAGGGCTATGCTCGGAGTTTCTCTGCGTGATAAACTCAGAAATGAGGATATCCGCAGTAGAACCAGAGTGACCGACATAGCCCAACGGATTAGTAAGATGAAGTGGCAATGGGCCGGCCATATAGCTCGAAGAACCGACAACCAATGGGGAATAAAGGTTCTCGAGTGGCAGCCTCGTACCGGCAGGCGAAGTGTAGGGCGTCCCCCCACTAGATGGAGTGACGACCTGGTAAGATATGCAGGAAGTCGATGAATGCAGGTGGCTCAGGACCGTGTTTTGTGGCATTCTTTGGGGGAGGCCTATGTTCAGCAGTGGACTTGTGAAGGGCTGTAATGATGAATGATGATGATGATATATATATATACTAGCTGGCCAGGCAGACGTTGTTCTGCCCTTTCCGACGACCCTTCCTATGAAAAATTCCTTAAATTCGTAATAAAAAAAATATTGAAGGTCACTTGTCGGGATAAAAAGTATCCTATTTCTCAAGTTGGACCAAACTGCAGACAGTGTGCAAAATTTCATTGAAATCAATTCAGTAGTTTAGGAGTTCATCGCGGACAAACAATGTGACACTTAATTTTTATATATAAAGATATATATTTAATGTATTTTAAAAGTTATCTGTTTTGTTGTCCATATAATAAATTAAAAAGAAAATTAAAGTAGACTATGGTTTGGAGTATTGGCGAACCTTCCAAGTTACCCATGCCAATTGGTGGTTTCAAGATTGAAAAAGTAAAATGCCTATGTGCAGCAGTTGATTAAAAAAACTGCTGAAGAAGATGTATTTATAACAATAGGACAATTGATATCGGTAATTACAACAAGGGACAAGCGAGCACACAGTCCACCTGATGGTAAGTGGATGCTGTGGCCCATAGACATCCACGTCTGTCCTAATTTTCGAATCAAAATGCAGATGCGTTGTCAGCCGTGAGGACTAAGATGGAATGCCAGCTCTTTTCCAGTAAAGGGTCCCCGGTTCTCTACACTCACCATACAAAACACAGCAGCATTAAACTGTTATTTATCCTGAGAGAGCGTGGTCCTTCCCCGGTCGAGTCGTACCATTCGTGCCTATACAATTAATATAGCTTTAGCATGGCTCTACCACATTTGAAACAATATTATTTAACGACGAATTATTGACAGCTTTGTGGCGCAGTGGCTTAGCTTGCGTTTCGGCGCTGAGGGCCGGGGATTCGAATCCCGCAAGGAACAAGTATTTTTATGACCTATAAATAATTTTTCTGGATTTGTATGTTTGTTCTTGTGCAATTTATGTTTGTATACTCTCTCCACGATATAAGAGAAAATCCTAATATGGAGTTAACTTTTAAAAAATTCTTATAAAAAGAAGAGTTATATTAAATTAAGGAACTATTATATTACTTTAGCAATAATAATAATGTCTTCAAGACCGAATTTCGGTCACGGCGGTCAGTCCCTACTGAGACTAGCCCTCTGCGCAGGATACGATAAAAGTGCCCGAGTGTTTGTGCAAGCTAAGGTGTAATCTATTCCCTCACTCTCATATTCCGATGGACAGTAAACACGAGTTCGACACGACCGGAGAGAGATCATGCACAGGACCAACGGCCTTACGTGCTTTTCGAGGCACGGGGGTGAGACACCGCCAACTTCCTGACACTGGGCTGCTACTGAGGATTTCGTGTCAGTATCCCAATAACTGATTTCGACACCAACCCGGTACTCGAACCCGAGACCTCAAGGTTATGAGTCGCATTTAACACAACTAGAGCAATGAGGCAATTATGTCATATTACTTTAAATCTTACCAAAACATAAATTCTTATAATTTTCTACCGACTTCAAAAAAGAGACGGTACTCGATTCTACTGTATGTTTTTTTATGTGTTACCTCATAACTTTTTACTGGGTGGACCGATTTCGATGGCTCTTTTTTATTTGAAAGCTGGTGCTTCTCATGTGGTCGCATATAAATTTGATCAAGGTCTGATCAGTAGTTTTTGAATTATTCTTAATAATTTATATTGAAGTTGGTTGTATAAAATTTTTAATTTTAAATTATGTGACTTTGAATAAGAGACATCTTTTAAAACACATGTTGATGTTATATCACGTTTAATAGTAACTTCTTTAATTCCCGACGTTTTAAAACACCCATAGTTATAAGGGTGAATAAGGTGTTGACTACACGACATCATAGTTAATTAAGCATAGTTGATTCGCTATCGTTACCAGTCATTAATTTATTGATCACTTAAAACTATACATTTTTTTCAGAATACATGGACCTCGAGGATGAAATGTCTAAGGACAAGAAGGCCCTGCTTGAAGAGTTTGAGAGGAGGAGAAAGGCTCGGCAGCTGAATGTGTCTACCGATGATGATGAGGTATTGTTAATACTTAATCATATTAAAAATGGTGTCTGATACATTATTTTGACCGGGTAGTAGCGATGTAAGAATATGATCTTTTTTGAAAAACGTTACCACCACACTAGGATTTTCTCGTGTATCGTGTAAGCAGTTTGCAAACACAAATTTCACAAGGACAAACACCCAGACTCGGAACAATTATTTGTTATACAAATACTTGTTCCGCGCGGGATTCGAACCCGCGCCCCCCAGCGCAGCAAATCATTGCTAAGCCACTGCGCCTACTACTCCATATCGTCCCATGGGTGACGTAAAAGGCGACAGAGGGAAACAATCCAGGAGATAGGCAGCCAGCTAACCTGCCTGTGAAGCTTGGCAGCTATGGCAAATATCCTCCCTATGAGGCAATGTATGGGGAAGGTCCACTGCTGAAGTGGACTGTAATAGGCTATTGGATGGATGTATAGAAGATAATCTACCAGGAGCACATGACCCACTGGGAGGTGAAATTTTCAAATCATTAGTAACATTACAACTATGGCAAATATCCTCCTCCTATGAGGCAGTCTATGGGGAAGGCCTATGTTCAGCAGTGGACTTTAGATGGATTGTAAAGGACACATTATGTTGCGTCATCATTTTTGCTAAGCAGAGTCAATGGCACTCACTATACTTCATAAAGACCCCGGCCTAGCAGTGGACTTTAAAGGCTTATGAAGAAGTAGTAGGTAGATAGGACTACTTTTCTGCCTAATAAAGAAGAGCAAACAGCAGTGTCAGCATACCACCCTCTTAGTTTAGTTTACGACGGGCTGTTTTCCGCAAGTCCACATTTAAGTGCGTATTTTGCGTGTGGACAAGAATAATGTACTCGTAATTATTCGAGCTATGAAATCTCACCGAAGAAGTTCAACAGTCTTTTGATTTTGCGAGTAACTTCGGAGAGTGATCCCGGTGTGCCGAGATGTTAAGCCTTAAGACTCCTCCGGACATGTCAGCAACACGTAGGCCGCCGTTTCTTCCTCCCCAATGCCCTGCACAGGGGACTATCTGCAACACCTATGGTAAATAAATGTGTGTTAAAGGAGCCCTGTCCTTTGATAGCACTTGTTACTATCCTGATCTGTGTATCTGATTGTTCATTTATTAGAACCTTGGTAAAACGACTGTTTATTTCCGGCAGGGCCTCCCTAGATTGTCTATGGTCTACTAGATTTTTCCAAAGCTGAGCGTGTTGATTAGTGATATTTCTACGTACCGGTGAACGAACGTTACCAAAGGTGATTCACGTCAAGGACATCACGGAGTCCTTGTCGGCTCAGATGGCCCGAAACGCCCACCGAAATTAGCCCGTTTGCAGAAACGACTACACCTCGTGAGCCCCGTGAGCCAGGTTCAAATGTTTTGTTTGCTTATCTGTTTTGGCGTTCATAGGGTTCTTGTATTGTGGAATGGTAATGTAGACCAAAAATATCCTTGTCTGTGCCAGTGTGTGTCTGTGTCTGTGCCAGTTTTTTTATAGGATAGGATGGCAAACGAGCACACAGTCCACTCGATGGCAAGTGACTGCTGCGACCCATAGACATCTACATCTATCCTCAATAAAGAATCAAAATGCAGATGCGTTGTCATCCGTGAGGACTAAGATGATGATGACCTAGTCCCCGTAGAGCCTCGCGCGGTCAATTTCGAGCACGGCTTCCTTCAAGTACTTGTAAAGACAATAAGGCAATAAGGCAGTCTCCGATCCACGAGACCGTATTTCAGAGCGAGCTGGTGTAGAATCCTGGCTACTAAGTCGTATCTTGTAGAATAGAATTGATCACCCAATCCAAATCCCGATCAAAAATCCAAAAGTTGTATAGAATTAAAGTAGCACCGTTTTTATTCCTTGTACAGGAACATCAAAAGAACCGCCAACACAGCAAGAACAAGCATCATGAACAAAGCATTGGTAATTCATTAGGTGGTAGAGCCACGCTCCTACTACATTATGGATGTAGGACGCAAGGGTCAGCTCGACTGGGATAGGATCACGTTCTCACAAAATACCAGTGTAAAATAGCAGCTTAATACATTGATTTGTATGGTGAGTGCAGAGAACCGGATACTCTTATTACTGGAAATTTCATCTTAGTCCTCAGAGAACAATGCATCTGCATTTGGATTCGTAATTAACGATAGATGTAAATGTCCATAAGCCACAGCATCCACTTATCATCAGGTGGACTGTGCTGTTTGTTTGTCACCGTTTTTCTATATAAAAAAAAAATATCGTAATTTTATCAATTTATTTCTTTTTGTAGGTGAGAAGGAGTCTCCGTCAGCTTGGTGAACCCGTGTGCCTGTTTGGTGAGGGTCCGGCTGAGAGAAGAGTGAGACTGAGAGATCTGCTCAGTTAGTAAGTTACTGCCACTTATTCAGATTGCCCAATAAGACTACCCCTCTTACACTGAACACTTAGGCCCAATTAATAAACGTTACTCAACGACGAACTCAAGTGCGTAATCATTTGATACGCCCTCTTTACGATATCAGCATCTCAAGATCGTTGCTAATTAATAAACACAAAAAACAGTATCTCCAAACGCTGTACTTTGGAATACTGTTCTGTGACTTGCACTCAAGTGCACACACTTGAGAGTCGAGTTTCGTTTATTAATCAGTGTGGCACTCAGCTGATATCGTAAACCTAAACGGCATCTTGAGATATGTTAATTAATAAGATCATAACCTCGAGATTGTACTCAATTGCATGTACTTGGGCTGAGTAACCTTTATTAATATGGGCCTTTAGAGTTCCGTACCCGAAGGGTAACCAACGGGACCCTATTACTAAGCCTTCGCTGTACTTTCCTCCTTTTTTCAGTCTGTCTGTCAGCGGGCTGTATCTCATGATCCCTAAATGGGTAGAAAATTGAGATTTTCACAGAATGTGTATTTCTGTTACCGTTATAACAACAAATAATAAATATAAATATAAATTAAAAATTAAAGGGGCCTCCCCTACTAGGAACATGTATTACGATGGTACGAAACCCTTCATGCGCGAGTCCGACTCGCACTTGGCCAGTTATTTAAAGACATTAGATGTTAGTTATAATGGTCAATGTTATCATTTGGTTACTTTTATTTTAAGGTTATTTAAATGTTTATGATGAATATCTATTTGTATTTAAGATATATGGGCCACAGCTCCCTCTTACCATCGGGTGGTGGTACCATTTTACCATTGTTGTATGTGATAGAACCATACTGTAGCTATGTTACTGGTATAGTTGTAGCACGAATGGGTCGGCTCTACCGGGTAAGGATCACGCTCTCATAGAATACCAGCGTAAGCAGCTTAACGCGGCTGTGTTTCATATGGTGAGTGTAGTGAAACGGAGGCCCTTTTTACTAGAAGCGAGGCATTTCATCTTAGTCCTCACGGTTGACAACGCATCTTTTTTTTTATAGAATTAGGATGACAAACGAGCACACAGTCCACCTGATGGTAAGTGGTAGCTGTGGCCCATAGACATTTGCATCTATCTTCGTTTGCGATTAAAAATTCATCTGCAATTTGATTCGTAATCGAGGATAGATGTAGAGTTCTATGGGCCACAGCTACCACTTACTATCAGGTAGATTGTGTGTTCGTTTGTTACCCTTATCCTATAAAAAAAGTGGACTGTATGTTCGTTTGTTACCCAGTACCACAAAAAATAAAAAAATAAAATATGAAACTCACTGGTGTTTGCACTGAAGACTCACAACTCTGTCATGATTTAACAGCCTTGGCGAGGATGCCATCCACAAGAAATTGGAAGAGGAAGAGGCGAGGATAGAGAGGGACAGATGCCGCGAGGGCACCTGGTACCACGAGGGCCCTCCTGAGCTACGGGACGCCAGGCTCTGGATCGCCAGATACTCACTGCCCAGGGCCAAACAAAGGTCAGAGAGTGCTTTAGAATTTCTCCACTTAGAATTAAACTACTTTTACGGATTTTATTGCGTTTAATTAACTTATTTTTATTAATTCCCGATGTTTCGGGTGCCTTGCAGCACCCATGGTCATGAGGGGATGTGAGGAGGTACTTGAAGTCGTGAAATAGTTAACCCGGAGTAACCTCAGGTTTTAATAATTAGTATTTAACTATCAGTGTTTTGAAGTCTTGCTAATGTTTAAGTTTAGATTTAATTTTATTATTTACTAGCAATTCGGCCCCGGTTTCGCTTAGGATCCATTAAAGTGGCATTATTTGGATTTAAGATAATCAAATATATACATAAAATAAATTTTTATAAATTTTTCATTGTTATTTTTCAAAAAAAAATCTTTAAGAGTTTGAATTTCCTTTAACACCCATAGTGAGGATAGCCACTGTGGTAGAAGTCACCCGGACGGACACCATCTCTGTTTTTACAGACTGACCAATATCCGTAAAGATATATCTAATTTAATTTAATGTTTTTTTTTTTATAAAATAAGGGTGACAAACAAGCACACAGTCCATCTGATGGTAAGTGGTTGCTATGGCCCATAGACATCTTCGTTTGCGAATTAAAATGCAGAAGCGTTGTCAGTCATGAAGACAAGTTGGCATACCTTGTTTTCATTATAAAGGGTCCCGTTTCTTTACGCTCACCATAAGAAACACGGGAACATTAAGCTGCTCTTTCACGCTGGTATTCGATGAGAGCGTTATCTTTTGAGCCGACCCATTTGTGCTACAAGCGTAATATAGCTGCAACGTGGCTCTACCATGTACAAACCTGTTACAGTTCACAGCTGGGCAATCACGTCCTCCCTTATAACACAGATAATGTCACATCTATAGTCTCACCGTCACTAGCTGGGTGAGCCCAGTTAATCTTGTACAAACTTACATGCTAGTAAAAACGCTTTTAGAAGGTCTCTAATTATTTTGGTAAACGTACAAGACAATATACATGATTTAATAAAACTAATGATATATATGTATATATAGATAAACTTGTGATAATATAATATTTTATTTACACACACTAAAAATATTTTATAATTTTTTTAGTGTCGCTTTTTCGTTGCATCGAGTTTCAAATCATAACGATTCAAAAGAACTTTTCACTTCAATAAAAATCATTTAATAATTGAATAAAACTACTTTTACGGATTCTATCGCGTTTCTCCCGTGACTATGGGTGCTGTAAAGTACCCGACACGTCGGCAATCAATAAAAAATAAGTGAATTAAACGCGATAGAATCCGTAAAATGGTTTTAATCAATGTGTAGTGTTCGCGTAAATATAAGAATCCTTGTGATTTAATTATGTTTAACACTTAGATTGAGGTTATTATATTATATCAAAGCCACTGTGGTCGAAGTCATCCAAAAGGACACCATCTCTGTATTTATAGACTGACCAAGGCCCGCGAGGAGCTAAAGCTTCCCGGCAGCATCCGAGCGGCTGCAAAGCAGGAGTCGCAGAGGAAAGCGTCAGCCATATCGATATATTGCAGTCAGGTATGATAACTGTATTTTTATTTTATTTTATTCATATGGGTACCGTGTTGTGGCGATGTAAGAATTTTTAGCACAGATTTTTGTATATTTATTATTTACGTGTTTATAATATGGTCCAGATCGGAGATACGAGGCCTATCAGCTTCTGCCGATTCAGTAACGACAGTCAGATGCTGATCACTTCCAGTTGGTGAGTCTCTTGTTGACTTCTTACAGGTTGACTTTAGTGTTATAAGTTAAAAACACTGACTTGTTCTCGATTGATCTTCTCTCATCGGTCCGTTTGAAACTGCAATAATATTGTAATGTTCCCCGTTATCGATGCGTATGACACTTAAAACTGTCTGTAACGGCCCACTGCTGGACACAACGTTCTCTCATTTTTAAGAAATAGAGCATTCGACCAGGACGTCCGGACACCCGGACATTCAAATTTTTTCCTTTTTTTTTTTGATGCTTTCCCAACCACTAAGATTTTCTCCTCTATAGGAGAGCTATCGGAGATGCTTTATATATACATAAATTACACAAGAACAAACCTTCAGACTTAGAACAATTATTACGTCACGGAGCCGTAGTCTTGGAAACATTTTTGATGTGTTAACCATATAGTGGCGGTGTAAGAATATCCACTGCCCCATATCGTCCCGAGGGTGTCGTAAGAGGTGACAGAGGGAAACTGAAACAGGAGATGGGCAGTGGTGTGGTAATAACATTTCAAAATAATAAAAAAAATACATATGGAGTGTCGTGGAACACTCGGTTGGAACGAAGTTCCTTATTATTATTGATAAACGTATTAAATTATTGATTAACAAATACAAATAAATGATTAGGTACTAGCGTCTATTAAATTGAAGCGTCATTTAAAATAAAATACACTATGACACAAGGGGTAGTGACGGAAAAATCTTACACTTTTTGTCGCCTAGCTCCCATCCGCCAAACCCGTACCGTCCGATAAGAAACTTCGTTCCAAAAACTGGGGTTTATGTTCAGCAGTGGACCTTTGATAGGCTGTAAAGATATTTGTAATTAGGAAGCATCGATCACTAATGAAAAACAAGATACACAATATCATGCAAATGTTCTCTAAAAACTGTCGCCAATTGTTTTGACGTAATTCTAGTTGAAATAAATATACATTAATGTAAATTCAACCTTAAACGCATTGCCTAAAGTGGTATTCACAAAGCTACGTAAAAATTAAAAGCGCACCCAAGATGTTTGAGTGGGCGCTTATTCGTTAAGGACATTTTTGTCAGTGATTGTGTATCTCGTTTCTTTATTGGTGATCGATGCGATATTATGTAGATTAGGAATCCTCTTCTGCCGATCCCTCGGGGTGGGTAACAGCGTCTTACCTATTTCTGCCTGAAATCGCAGTGCCTGTGCTGCTGTGGTCCGGTCTCAAAGGTATAGAGGGCGAGTTTAATTACAGGCGATGAGGCATTCCATCTTAGCCCTCAGAGGTGTCAACGCATCTCTGTAGTCTTCTTTGTTTGAAGTTGACTGCTGAAGTCCATGGACTGCAGTGGTCCTTTATACTTGGTAGAGCCATGCTGCAGCTATATTACTGGTATAGTTGTAGCACGAATGGGTCGGCTCGATCGGTGAAGGACCACGCTCTCACAGAATACCAGCGTAAAATAGCAGCTTAATGCAGCTGTGTTTCGTATGGCGAGTGTAGAGAACCGGAGACGCTTTTTACTCGAAAAGAGGCATTATATCTTAGTCCTCAGGGGTGACAATGCATTTGCATTTTGATTCTTAATCGAGGATAGATGCAGATGTCTGTGGGCCACAGTATCTACTTACCTTTAGATGTACTGTGTGCTCATTTGCTATCCTTATTGTATAAAAAAATTTAAACGGCCAACCACTGAGACTTTTTTGTGTATTATTAAAATACTCTAGAAACTGATAAATTTTTATTTAACATTGTGGGACGTGACATTGTGTTGCAAAAAATTTCGCCTAAGTCGCAGCTAGCGTATTATAGAAATCTAACTAACTTCTTTAAATTACATTGTGCTACAAAAATTTTCACCTCATTCACAACTTGACTGTGTAGCGGCGGTGTAAGAATATCCACTGCCCCATATCGTCCCGTGGGTGTTGTAAGCAACGCCGCAGGGAAAATAACAGAAGTTGGGTAGCATCTTCCTGATAATAACTCAAAATATTAAAAGAACTGCGGTTACCTACCCGCCTGTCAAACGTGGCAACGGTGGCGAAACCCTCCCTGTGTGGCTTATGTTGAGCGTAGGTTCATTTGTCCAGGTCCGGGCTGTGCAAGGTGTGGGCGGTGCCGGAGTGCGAGGCGCTGGCGACGCTGCACGGCCACACGTGCAACGTCAGCAGCGCCACCTTTCACCCGGCGGCCGCCATGCCGCAACACTTCCGCGACAAGGTCACATACACTCACACAAGAATACGTTTCTAAGAATTACTTGTAATCTTTATAAATAAAAAACATGCGAGTGTCGTGGAACACTCGGTTGGAACGGAGTTCCTTTCGTAGTATATTATTATTGATAAACGTGTTATATTATTGATTAACAAATACAAATAAATGAATTACTAGCGTCTATTAAAATGAAGCGTCATTTAAAATAATATTTCTTTCATGGCAAGATAAGAAAAAGTGCGAGGGTAATTATTTCATCTCGCTCTCACTATAGAAAAAAGGCGTCGTGATAGAAAAATCTTACACTTTTTCTCATCAAGCATCCGCCAAATTAGTATCGTGCGATAAGGAACTTCGTTCCAAAATTATTCAATTCTAATCTAAAAAAAACTTACCTCTTCGCACGATAGCAAAATACGAGAATGACAGCAGCAAGTAGAAGTTTGACATTACAAACAGACACTAATTTCATTTAGTTATATGTATAAATAAATGGTTTTATTTATTTAATAAATTTCTGTTTTTTTTAACTGTTTATTTTAACAGTTAAAAGTTATATTAACCATCTTTAAAGCACCGCACAAAGAGGAGATAGACATAATATGAAACATTGTATACTGTATTCTATCTCATTTTCTTGCAGGCTAAATCCTATAGATGTATATGTTTGTCTCTTTTTGTGTGTCGCTATTTCGTTTCATCAAGTATTCAAATCGCAACGATCCTAAACAAGTTTTCACTTTAACAATAATAATATCTGCAGATAAAAGACGCGAAAGAAGGTAAAACCGGTACACCGGAGGCGATGGAAACCAACGAGGACAAGTCCGAGGTGTGCACGATGGCTTCCTGTGCATACGACGGCAGCGTACACCTCTGGAACTTCTCCAGGTCAGTTGAACACTAATTACATTGTTTTTATAGAATAATTGTGACAAACGAATAAACCCCAATGTTTTAACGTGGTAGAGTCATATTGCAGCTATATTAATTGTATAGTTGTAGCACGAATGGGTCTACCCGACCGGGAAAGGACCACGCTCTCACAGAATATCAGCGTAAAATAGCAGCTTAACACTGCTGTTTTCCGTATGGTGGGTGTAGAGAACCGGAGACCCTTTTTACTGGAAAAGCGGCATTCCATCTTAGTCCTCACGGGTGATAACGCATCTGCATTTTGATTCGCAAACGAGAATAGATGTAGATGTCTATGGACCACAGCAACCACTTACAATTAGGTGGACTGTGTGCTCGCTTGTCATCCATATGATAACACACACAGTCCACCTGTTAGTAAGTGAATGATGTGGCACACACATGTGCTTGGGCAATTAATAATTATTGGATCCCAAGCAGATGGTAGCGCCCAGTCATCTTCTCTACTGAAATTAGGCCGTTAATGAATGATTAAGCATGTTAGGGATCCTATGATTTATAAAATTAAATCCCAACCCAAGCATACAACTGCAAGACTTCAAGATACTGTAAGTTTATATATAGTGCGTAGATCGTAACAAAAAAACTTCTTCGCGTGTAGATTTAATGTTATTATTTGTTTGCGAATTCTTTTAACTCTGTGAAAGGCCTCTCTCTGTCCAGCAGTGGTCTTAAAATGACTGAAAATGATTCCTGCAGTTGGGAATCAAGCATGCGTAATGCACAGACTGCCACCCAGCATTACATAAATGTGTTGTACATTTCTTTTCAACGAGCACACAGTCCACCTGATGGTAAGTGGATGCTGTGGCCCATAGACATCTACATCTGTCCTCGGTTAAGAATCAAAATGCAGATGCGTTGTCATTCCTGAGGACTAATATGAAATGCCTCGTGACCAGTAAAAAAGGGTCTTCGATTCTCTACACTCACCGTATGAAACACAACAAAATTAAGCTGCTATTTTAAGCTGGTATTCTGTGAAAGCAGACATTCCCTAGCCGAGCCTTAGTTTATACGTTTGTCACCCCTATTCTATAAAATATAGAACTGTAAAGTGTGCTAAGTACAAGAAATAAAGAGAATTATTGGTGACGGCTCTGTGGCGCAATGGCTTAGTAATGAGATACAGCCTTAAAGTCCGCAGGTTCGAATCCCGCACGGAACAAGTATTTGTATTGCCTACAAATAATTGTTTCGTGTCCGAATGTTTTTCCTTATGAAATTTTATATGTAAATTGTCCCCGCGATACAGGAGAAAATCGTAATGTAGAGGTAACGTTATGGAAAAAAAGGGAAAAAAGAATTATTGGTCCAAAGGTTTAAGATGAATGTGTACGATTTAGAAGTATGTTCAACTGTGTTAGGAGAAACACTGTCAGATGCTGCAAATTTTATAGTTTACATGTTTAACACCTTGAATCACTATTATATACACGGTACAAATATCGTTCTTCTCAACAAGGTTATTTCAACTGTGTCATTACAGTGTAGTGGCGGTGTAAAAATTTCTGCTATCCCATATCATCCCGTGGGTGTCCTAAGAGACGACAGCGGAAAACAAATCAGGCCATGGGCAACAGCTTCTTACTAATAACGACTGAAAATAAAAATAAAAACTGCCATTGTTGTCAACGACAACAAAGTGGTGGCAACTATGGCAGTGTACTGTTTAGCAGGGGACTTTATAGGCTGTAACGGTAATGGTTTGGGCACAGCGACAGACCGATGGCATCACTGGGTGGCCATGCACCAGCTCGAGTGGCTCGCGTGGAGTTCCACCCGTCGGGCCGGTTCCTCGCCACCACCGTCTTCGACCACTCCTGGCGCCTATGGGATCTGGAAACCGGTGAGCTCCAACTTCCCAACACCAACATTTTTTAAACACTTGATGTACATTCCGTAAATACTAGGAATAAGCAGAAGTTATTTATACCTACCAATTACTCGATTCCAAAGAGTCAGTAATTCCTTCATGGGGCAAAAAGTCCCAGAAAATATGCTTGCAGGTGTATTCAAAATATTTATATAGCAATAATTGTTCAGTAAGGGTTATTATACCAAAGAGTACATGAATAATAATAACCCCTGGGAATGAGGTGATCACTACCATGCTACCTTTCTTGTTTGCAGTTGGTTGCTAGCGTCCATGGAAAATAGTCGCCATTTTTTTATAGGATAAGGGTGACAAACGAGCACATAGTCCACCTGATGGTAAGTGGTTTCTGTACCCCATAGACATCTACATCTATCCTTGATTACTAATCAAAATGCAGATGCGTTGTCACCCGTGAGGACTAATATGGAATGCCTCGTTTCTAGTAAAATGGGTCTCCGGTTCTCTTCACTCACCATACGAAACACAGCAGCGTTAAGCTGCTTTTTTACGCTGGTATTCTGTGAGAGCGTGGCCCTTCCCCGGTCGAGCCGACCCATTCGTGCTGCAACTACACTACTAATATAGATGCAGCATGGCTCTACCACGTAATACTCATTATCAGGTGCAGTAGAAGTTCGTTTGTGACATTCGTTTTATAAAAAAGTGAACTCATATTATATGGTATGGTAATTTATTAACTAAGGTGCCAACATTTTGTTTTGTTCCTGTCTTTTTTTTATAAAATAAAAGTAAGAAACCAGCACACAGTCAACCTGATGATACGTGGATGCCGTGCCCCATAAAAAATTTTTGTAGCACAATGTAATTTAAAGAAGTTAGTTAGATTTCTATAATACGCTAGCTGCGACTTAGGCGAAATTTTTTGCAACACAATGTCACGTCCCACAATGTTAAATAAAAATTTATCAGTTTCTAGAGTATTTTAATAATACACAAAAAAGTCTCAGTGGTTGGCCGTTTAAATTTTTTATACAATAAGGATAGCAAATGAGCACACAGTACATCTAAAGGTAAGTAGATACTGTGGCCCACAGACATCTGCATCTATCCTCGATTAAGAATCAAAATGCAGATGCCTTGTCACTCCCGAGGTCTAAGATGGAATGCCTCGTTAACAACAAAAAGGGTCTCCAGTTCTCTACACTTACCATACGAAACACAGCAGCATTAACAGTTTCCCTGTCTGCTGAGTAGACACTATAGAATAGAGTGTTCTATACACAAATAAATAAAGTTGAAGTGTCTGTTTGTAGTGTCAAAATGACAGCTTTTTACTAAATGGTATACGGTACTTATAATAAAAACCCAATATTTAAAAAATTTGTCTGTCTGTGTCCAAAATGGCTGGCACGATTTTGGCGGGACTTTCACTGACAGATATGATGTTATAAGGAGTAACTTAGGCTACTTTTATTTTAGAAGAAGAATTAGGGTTCCGCGCAAAAAAATCCAAAACACATGAAATCCAATCATAAGAAAATCCAACGCATGTGAAGTCTCGGGGAACAGCTAGTTAATCAAATATAAATGTTCATATATGTATGGTTCATGAGTCAGGGAAAGGATTAAACTGAAGTTTCTCGTTGGTATTTTGTGATAATAATATGAAACAATATTTGATTTGCGATCTTACCTACTAACATTCGTAAGGACTTTTCAACCGACGAGAAAAAGGAGGAGGCTCTCAATTCGTCGGAATCTTTGTTTTTTTTTATGTATGTTAACCGATTACTCGAAGATGCCTGAACCGATTTGGAAAATTATTTTTTTATTTCAAGGGGTATACTTCCCACATGGTCCCATATACATTTGGTTAAGGTGTGACTGGTAGTTTTTGAGTTATCTTTAATAATTTTTTATATTGAAGTTGGTTGTGCAAATTTTTTAATTTTACCACTTGTAAATACAAGTAATTGTTTCGTGTAGTGAACCTATCACAACATTTAGTCCCGTTACTGTTACTATTATAGCCTATTAAAGTCCACTGCTGAACATAAGCCTTCCCCATAGATTTCATCATAGGAGGGTATTTGCCATAGTTGTAATGTTACTGTTGATTTGAAAATTTCACCTCTCAGTGGCTCATGTGCTCCTGGTAGATTATCTTCTATACATCCATCCATTATAGCCTATTAAAGACCACTGTTGGACATAGGCCTTCCCTATAGATTGCCTCATAGGGGGAATATTTGCCATAGTTGTAATGTTACTGTTGATTTGAAAATTTCATCTCTCAGTGGGTCATGTGCTCCTGGTAGATTATCTTCTATACATCCATCCATTATAGCCTATTAAAGACCACTGTTGGACATAGGCCTTCCCTATAGATTGCCTCATAGGGGGAATATTTGAAATAGTTGTAATGTTACTGTTGATTTGAAAATTTCACCTCTCAGTGGGTCATGTGCTCCTGGTAGATTATCTTCTATACATCCATCCATTATAGCCTATTAAAGACCACTGTTGGACATAGGCCTTCCCCATAGATTGCCTCATAGGGGCGATATTTGCCATAGTTGTAATGTTACTGTTGATTTGAAAATTTCACCTCTCAGTGGCTCATGTGCTCCTGGTAGATTATCTTCTATACATCCATCCATTATAGCCTATTAAAGACCACTGTTGGACATAGGCCTTCCCCATAGATTGCCTCATAGGGGCGATATTTGCCATAGTTGTAATGTTACTGTTGATTTGAAAATTTCACCTCTCAGTGGCTCATGTGCTCCTGATAGATTATCTTCTATACATCCATCCATTATAGCCTATTAAAGACCACTGTTGGACATAGGCCTTCCCCATAGATTGCCTTATAGGGGGGATATTTGCCATAGTTGTCACGCTTGGCAAGCAAGTTCTTTATTTTAGTCGTTATTAGGAAAACGCTGCTGCTCATCTCCTGATTTGTTTCCTTCTGTCGCCTCTCACGACACCCACAGGGTAATGTGGGATAGTGCATATTCTTACTCCGCCACTACATGGTAAATTTGTTAAGAAATGGTTTAATAAATATCTCTTCCTTTCTTTTTGTGTGGGTTGCAGCGACCGAGGTCTTGCATCAAGAGGGTCACGCGAAGCCGGTATACAGTATCGCGTTCCAAGGCGACGGCTCACTAGCAGTGACCGGGTGAGCCTCTTTGTTTTTTTTTTTATGGAATAAGGCTAACAAACGACCACACAGTCCACCTGATGGTAAGTGGATGCTGTGACTCATACACATCTACATCTGTCCTCGGTTAATAATCAAAATGCAGATACGCTGTCACCCGTGAGGACTAAGATGGAATGCCTCGAATCCAGTAAAAGGTGTATCCGGTTCTGTACACTCACCATACGAAACACAGCAGTTTTAAGCTGCTATTTTGCGCTGGTATTCTGTGAGACTGTGGTTCTTTGATCCGTCCCATTCGTGCTACAACTATAATATAGCTGCAGCATGGTTGTACCACGTAAAATAATATATACTTATCTTAAACTATTATATTTAACTTTATATTTTAACATCCTGTTAAAAAAAAGTTACAGCCTATAAAATAGTATACGTCGCACTGCTGGACACAGGCCTCCCCTCATTTCAGAGAGGGTTTTAGGAAAAATGAATATCCGCCCCGCTGCCCCAATGATTGTTGGCGAATTTCACATGTCTTCGAAATTTTTTTCATATTTCTCAGACATGCAGGTTTCCTCACGATGTTTTCCTTCACCACCGAGCACGTGGTAAATCAGCACTTAAAATTGCAGTTAACAATTTCATTGGTTCTGGCGTGGATCGAACCCGAGTTGCTCGCGTACTGTGGAACTTCCAGCGAGCGCTAACCATCTGAGCTGCCACGGCCCTCTTGGACTTTCCTTAATTAGCTAGAAAATATAATTATAATGTCATTAAAAGAGTCCACTGCTGAATATTGGCCATAGATTACGTCATAGAGAGAATATTTGGTCATAATTGGCACGCTTGGCAGGTGGGTTGGCAGCCGCAGTTCTTACTCCACATTTGCCCGTCTCGTGTTTAATTTTCCTGCCTCACTTACGATACCTACGAAATTATATGGGCTAATGGATTCCCTTGCCGCCAGTAGGTACTCTGCTATTTGATACATGCTTAGATGAAGCATAATTTCAAGTAAAAATTTTGTTGGACCGAATTCAAGTTTGAAGTCGGTAGAAAAGCCAAGTAAAAGTGAATTATGAGAGAGAAAATGAATGGAATAATATCATTCTTCATCGTCGTCATTACACCATTACAGCCCTTCACAAGTTTACTGTAGAGCATAACCACAGGAAAGCCACAAATCACGGTCCTGAGCCACCTGCATCCATCGACTTTCTGCATGTATTACCAGGTCGTTACTTCATCTAGTGGGGGGCCGCCCCACTCTTCGTCTACTGGTACGAGGGTGCCACTCGAGAATCTTACTTCCCCATCGGTTTTCGGTTTTTCGAGCTATATGGCCGACCCATTGCCACTTCATCTTACTAATCCGTTGGGCTATGTTGGTTACTCTGGTTCTACTGCGGATATACTCGTTTTGAAATATATCGCGCAAAAAAACCCCGAGCATAGCCCTTTTAACTGAGCTGAGCGACCTTGAGCTTCTTCCTTCATTCATCATAACTTATTATAAGTTCACTGCTTCTACCTGATAGGCAATCTATGGTAGCTTTGCTTGCTTTTGCTTTGCTAGCTTTATGGCTTTCCTTGGGCTGTTCTGATGTTCTGCAGTGGACTTGCGGAGGGTTGTATTGATGATTTTGCCACAGCTGCCGCGGTTAATAGACTAGAACAATCGCGGTTTTATTAACCAAACTAGTGATCCGTCCCGCCTTCGCGTGGATACAAGTTACAGCCTATATACGTCCTACTGCTGGGCACAGGCCTCATCTAATTTCTGAGAGGGTTTTAGGGCAAGGTCCCCCAAGGTGCCCCACTGTGTGTTGGCGAACTTCACATGCCTTCGAATTTTTTTCTCAGCTACACACACACACACACAACAGCTAGTTTGTAAATAGATTGGTAGTAGCAGTAAGTGGGGTGTGTCCGCAGGGGCATGGACGCGTTCGGGCGCGTGTGGGACCTGCGCACGGGCCGCTGCGTCATGTTCCTGGAGGGCCACGTGGGCCCGCTGCTGGCCGTCGACTGCGCGCCCGCAGGTCACCAGCTGGCCACCACCGCCGCCGACCACCAGGTCACCACCCGCCACCCGCCACCCACCACACGCCACCCACCACACGCCACCATACATACCTCCACACACCATTCAGTACAGACCAGAGTAGCTATTGCGTTTTTTTCCGACACGAAACTGTTTGTCATTTTTTGCGGGGAAAATTTGTGCACGCAAAAATAATCGTCTGTCACTACAAAACTCACACGTAACAATCAAAACAGTAAACTAAAAATTTCACACACATACATAGATACATTATAACGCTACCGCTCGGTGACAGCGGACAACTCGGCTACAAACTCTGATCTGTCGCTCGACTGGTCTGCATATTATATGAAGACCAGCGACCTGTATTGAGTAAACAAATTCGAAATAATACGACAGTAGTGTTGTGATTTTTTAATTTAAACAAATAAAAAACATTCATGTGATTAAAAATTACTTATATATCGAAATTAAAGCCATCTTTTTGTAAATTTGACGTGGCAATAACTGTATAATTCGGCAAATTTTTGTAGGACGTCGATTCTATAAAACTAGTGCACATGAAACTTGTTTTATAGACGCGTGGACTTGTACTTTGCCAGAAGGAAACGCCTGCGTACAACTACTCCTCTGCGGTCCACCTGAGGACTGTATTGTACTATGAGAGACACTATTAACATTGTCGGACCCCAAAATACAGAATTATCCTAATTAGGAGTCCAACGGAAAATATTTGTGTCTTTTCTTGAACATTGTTTAGCTCACTATTCTTTTTTCTTAATATGTTATTTTATATATACGAAAACATGTAAAATAATTCCTGCAGTTGGAACTCAATACAAACACCCTGCAGTATTTGGATGCGTTGTGCATTTCTTTTGAACGAGCACACAGTCCACCTGATGGTAAGTGGATGCTGTGGCCCATAGACATATACATTTGTCCTCAGTAAAGAATCAAAGTGAAGTTGTGTTGTCACCCTTGAGGACTAAGATCTTGCCTAAGAATGCCCAGTATCCAGTAAAAAGGGTCTCCGGTTCTCTGAATTCACCATACGAAACACAGCAGCATTAAGCTACTATTTCACGCTGGTATTCTGTGAGAGCATGGTTTTTCGAGCCAATTCATTCATACTGCGACCACAACATAGCTGCAGCGTGACTACCACATCTACAATTGCGTGCGTTTTGTCCACAGACCAAGATCTGGGACCTGAGGAGACGAGCGCCGATCTACACCATACCATCACACACACATCTCGTCAGTGGTGAGTATGAGATATAAGGATTTTTATAAAGTGACAAACGAACTTACAATCCACCTGATGGTAAGTTGCTACTTTAGTCCATAGTCAGCTGCAGCCAACTACAAACAAAGAAGACTACTAGTGAGTTGTCACCCGTCATGACTAAGATGGCATGCCTTGTTTCCAGTAAAAAGAGTCTCCGGTTCTCTACAGTCGCTATACGAAACACAGCAATGTTAGGCTGCTATTTTACGCTGGTATTCTGTGAAAACGTGTTCCTTACCCGATCGAACAAACCCATTTGTACTACAGCTATAATATAGCTGCAATGCGGCTCTACCACGAATGAAACTGCCCCAACAAAGCATTAAGTAATTTCAAAACCCGATAAGAATATAATTGTCTTCGCTGCAGTCAGTTAATATAAACTTCTATATATAACAATATTATAAACAGGTAAAGTTTGGAAGTTTGTGAGTTTGTAGGAAGTATCTCTGGAACTACTGAACCGATTATAAAAAAGATTTCACCAGTAGAAAGCTAGGGTTCTTTGACAATCCTCTTGCTCCCCGAATAAGGCTAAGGGGTTTAATAATAATAAAACCACATACAATTTTTCAATTATTATTTTTTTAATTAACTTAATAATATATTAAATAATATTATTAAAATTAAAATTTTCGATGGTCGTGTTTTTTGAAAAAGTTAATATACGTTTGAATACTGATTCTGATAATATAGTTTATAGACCCTTGCTATAAAATCCTTAAGTTCGTAATAAAAAATTTGAGGGTCACTTATCTGGATAAAAACTATTCTATCTCTCAAGTTGAACCAAACTGCACACAGTGTGCAAAATTTCCATTGAAATCAGTTCAGTAGTTTAGGAGTCCATCGCGGACAAACAACGTGACACGTAATTTTTATATATATATTAGTTTATAATAATTGTATATAGTCTATACCGGTACAGCTTATTGAAGTCCACTGCTGGACTTAGGCTTGGCGTAGTTGCCACGCTCTGCAACTATGAATTTAAATTTAATATGTTAACGGGCACGCAGCCTAATTGTATCCACTGTAATTGTACTTACTACTACTAATTATTTACCACTGGTTCGGAAAATACCTCTGTCCTGGGAAGAACCAGCAAGAAACCCAGCGGGACTTTTTGTTTCAAAATTATTTCACTTAACAATAATTTTGTTTATACAATTTTTAAATTTTTCATAGAACCAGCATGGTGGCGATCACCTCATTCCCAGAGGTTTTTTTTCATCCATATATTCCTTGATATTGTAATAACCCTTTTTGTACAGTTTTTCTTTAATAAAACTTTTAAACTTGTTTATTGACAAACTTTTAACATGTTCTGGGATTTCGTTGTAAAAGCATATACATTGCCCCATAAATGAATTACTGGTTCTGTGGAGTCTAGTAACTGGCATTACAAGCTTATGTTTGTTCCTAGTGTTTAAAGTATGCACATCCTTATTCTTATTAAAACTATTTATGTTTTTATGTATGTACATACATTACATTTTCATAAATATATTGCAATGCCAAAGTTAATATGTTTATTTCTTAAAATTTTTCTCTGAGGGACGTTTTACAACTAAGTGAAATTAGAAATATACTTGCAACAATTCTAAGAAGCTTTATTTTATCTCCCTTGTTCTATCATATTAGTTTTAGTGTACTCGAACAAATAATTTCAATCTACTTATCATATTTTGTTTGTCTTCATTTCTCTCTTAAGTATATGTGGGAAAGGCTTGTGTTCAGCAGTGGACCTGCTACGGGCCATAGTTGGGACCGAAGAGAACTTATTTGTTACGCAGATTGTGCGACACAGATGGTCATACAGTGTCATCAGCAGTGAAAAGTTGCGATATAGTTTTATAAGTTTTTCAGTGCTGTATTCTTTAATTTATTACATATTTTTAATTTTTTTAATTCTTCTACTTTTAAGAATACCTGTAGTTTGGTTTATCGAGTTTATCGATTTATAATGTAATTGATATAAAATGTAACTAATATTTCAGAAAGAAACGTTAATAAAATAAATTTCCTGTCGAATATTTCCTTTCATCCTTTCCTTTCCTTCCATTCCTTTATCACCTTATTGTAAAAGAATCCTGGTGTGACTATGTCGTGGATGCGGCCGTGTACTGTACGTGAACACGTGTCCGTAACGAAACGATCTCATAATGGCGGCGCTCCCCCCACCGTCACGCGATGTGTCACTTTCCTCACTCAACGTAAGGAACTCTGATCCTTCAGCTATTGAATGGTGTAATTAAATTTTGTAATGTACATCTATGCAAATAAATAATTTTGAAGTGTACGTTTGTAATGTCAAGAGCTTTTTACTAAATGCATATGAAAGATATACGGTACTAATAACAAAAATACAAGTTTTAAAGTTTTCGTCTGTCTGTCTGTTTGTGGTTCTGTTGGCCGATAGCTGATGTCACAAGGATTAACTTAGGCTACTTTTATTTGAGGAAAAGGAATTAGGGTTCCGCGCAAAAAAATCAAAACCTCAAATAGCACGCGGGCGAAGTCGCGGGGAACAGCTACTGATAAATAAGTAGTTGTAATACCGAACCGTATCCCCCGACTTTGTTATTATCAGTGTTCTGAATTGCCTCCCACTATGGAAGCAAATTTAAAGACGTATTCACGTCTAAAAGTCGTGGATTGTTGTTTTGTGTGTGGAAAGTGTGTTTGATTCTGTGCTCGACCATGTTCAGACGTGCGGTACCAGCGCAGCCACGGACACTTCCTGGTGACAAGCTCTTACGACAAGACCGCGAAGCTGTGGTCCAACCCGGCATGGCATCCTCTACGCACTCTCTCCGGACACGATAACAAGGTACACCTCTCACTTTACACATTTACAATATACCTGTGCCTGTATAATGCCCTCCAGACCGAATTTCGGTCACGGCAACCAGTCTCATCGATCTTCTCAGGACAGGATTATGGTGCACTCTGTAGTCCCTCTCTCTCGTAGTCCAATGGGACGGTAATCCGACACGATCGGAGAGAGTTCAGGTGCAGGACCAACGAACGGCTTTGTGCTCCTTCCGAGGCGGGTGGAACACCGCCAAATTCCTGACTCAGTGACTGATTTTTGGTCAGACCCGGGCATCGAGCGCGACCACTATGTCAACGAGGCAATCACCGTGTCAGTCAGTCAGTCGTGACCTGTGCCCGTAACCGAGTAGCGGCGGTGTAAGAATATCCACTGCACCATATCGTCTCGTGGGTGTCGTAAGAGGCGACAGAGGCAAACTGAAGCAGCGTCTTCCTTATAACAACTCAAATTTTAAAAAAAAACTGCGGTTGCCAACCCGCTTGCCAAGCGTGGCAACTATGGCAAAATCCTCCCTAAAATAAATTTTCGCCTATGTTCAGCAGGGGGACCTTTATAGGCTGTAATGGAATGTATGGATGGATGCCTGTGTGTGTGTGTGGTTTTCCCATCCATTATCAAGAGGGTGTCGTAAGAGGCGACTTTGGGACATGCATCTATGACATCTTATGTATAAAATGGCCTTTTTGTTGCTATCTAGTTTTCTTTTTTATATTTTGATGATTCTTTTTTTTATTTGAAAGCTTGATCGAGATCTGACCAGTAGTTTCTGAGTAATAATTAATAATGCGTATTTAATTGACTACGACTACATTGCTGATGTTCTAATTTCATTTATATTGAAGTCGGTTGTATGTTGAATTAATGTCTTGTAAAAGCAAGTTGCAGTTGCAGCAATAAATAAGTGTTCTTCTTCTGTTCTTTTAAAAATACTCACACCAGTGACGTTGAGAGATCTCAAAAGTACTTACATCTTGTACTAGGCCTGTCAATTTACTTGCCAAGCGTGTTAAGACAAATGTTGCCTACAACGGTAGAGGCTGATGAAGTACCTAATACAGAACCTAGATCTTACACAGTCAAACGCTGTAAGTCCATTATTCAACAAGCGACATTACAATTATTATAATTATATATAGTAAAAAAATATAATTTGTACTTATATACGAGGGTGCGTTTTTAAGTTTACGGAGTTTAGGTAATAAGTGGGAAGTGAGGACGTCGCTGAATTACGTGCTAATTGAGCAACTCATTATTAGTATAAATACCGGGTTTTATTGTAATTGGATCATTACTCTTTGAGTTATCGTCAACCAAACAAGTCAATCGGGAAGAAATTGTAAAATATGGAGAAAATCGGGTTCCGTGCCGTTATAAAGTTCCTTACCAAGCGCAGAAAATCAGTTCAGACTATACTGGAAGAGATGTCATCCGTTTACGGAAACTCTTGTCCAAGTAAAACTATGGATTACAAGTGGCATACCCTTTTTAAACAAGGCAGAGAGTCACTTGAAGACGACTCACGGCCAGGAAGGCCGATCGAGGTGACCACTTCGGACATTATTCAAAAAGTCGAAAAATTCATATTAGAAGATGCCCGCCTAAAGAAAAAACAGCTCGCAGAAATGGTTGGAGTATCAGATACAACCATTTTCAAAATTCTTCATGACCTTTCGGCATGACTAAAGTCAGCGCAAGATGGGTGCCTAGAATGCTCACGTCGCCTCAAAATCAACAGTACGTGGAGTATTCTCGTGCATTTTTGAACCTCTGTATGGAAGACAAAGATGGAGTGTTAGCTCCAATTGTTACTGGTGACAAAACTTGGGTTCACCATTATGAACCTGAGTCCAAACAGGACTCTAGCAGTGGCACAAAAAAGGCACATCACCGCCTAAGAATTTTAAGGTGGCACAATCAGTTGGGAAAAGCATGGCGACAGACTTTTGGGACTCAGAAGGAATCCTATTGATTAATTATAAAGATAAAGCTGTCTGTCTCCATAACCGGAAATTACTAGGCTTCAATCCTAGAACAATTGAAGGAAGCCATAAAGGAGAAAAGAAGGGGAAAATTGACAAAAGGAATCCTTCTTCTGCACGACAATGCGTCTGTTCACAAGTGCCACGTTGCGATGGCTGCCCTGCAGAAGGTGGGCTTCGAAATTTGCCACCCCCATCCTATAGTCCCACTGGCCCCCGTTGATCATTATCTATTTCCAAACTTTAAAAAAGAACTTTCACTCCTTACCCCCCATTCCGCGAACTTAAAAACGCACCTTCGTATTGCTTAAGTCCTTCGAGCCGAATAAAATAATTTTTCTTGCAGGTGATGAGCGCAGACATATCCCTCGACAACAAATACATAGCGACGTGCTCTTACGACCGTACCTTCAAGCTGTGGGTTCCCGACCTGGCGTAATGATGCGGAAGTTTTTTTTTTAATAAAATATAAATGAATGATCATTTGCGGTTTTTATTTCTGCGAAGTAATCAGCAATGATAGATCCAAACTTCATCGTCATTCGTCTCATATGTCTGAGAGGCGATCCTAGAGGAAAACTAATAATTTTTTTTATAGAATAACCTTGACAAACGTGCGCACAGTCCACCTGATGGTAAGTGGATGCTGTGGCCCGTTGACAGTTACATTTGTCCTCGGTTAAGAATCAAAATGCAGTTGCGTTGTCAGATATGAAAAATGAGGAACGGCTCGGTTTCCAGTAAAAAGGGTATCCGGTTCTGTACACTCACCATACGAAACAGCAGAATTCTAGTAGGTATTATGTTGTAGTGTAATCATTTCCTCTCTTTATTTAAGTTGTAGTATTACTCAAATATAATATCTTCGTATTTTTTCACGCGCTCATAGTTCAAATTTCAAATCTGTCATATCATACATACTTTATCTTCTATACATATAATAAAACTGTAAATACCAGATGTCTGTACATTTTATATTTTTGTAATAAAAGTGATTAAGGGGTACTAAAAATAAGTAATTAAATATATTTCTACCATTTTTAGAATTTTCTGTCTGTCTGTCTGTCTGTCTGTCTGTCTGTTTGTTTGTTAACGTATCACGTATAAAGTACTAATTTATATCATAAGAATTGTTAAGGAAATTATAAAGTGTATCTTCGGGTTACATTTAGTCTTTATTTCATTACAATCAGTTCATTCCATCAAAAGTTATGATAAATATTCTGAAGTATGGGTAGGGAAGTATAGGTACGAATTTGCTCAACGGTGGCTTTGTTTGAGTCATCAAGTGCATTTTAAACTAATATCATATAAATCATAGTTAAATTATGTAAAATAATGATATAATTATGTATATCTAAAACGCAGTAAACAAAAGTAATAAAGAACGTATTAAATATATTATACAAAAATATATTAACCTTATTAACTAAATCGATAGATGGTGGTGTTGTGAAAATGAAATGCAATTGCAAATGTGTTTTTTTTTCTGTAGATGAGTTTTCATATTTACTGCTAATCTTTATTATATTACTCGCTGCCCTACTGCGTGTTGACAAACTCAATTTATTCTTTACCGCCGAGTACTCTATGTGGTAAATCAAATTTTAAAAGAGCTATTAACAATTGCATTGGTTTTGGCGAGAGTCAAACTTTATTTTTTGCTTACTGTGCAGGCACTGATTTATAAGTTCTCTTACGTTTTATATAATGTATCAATCGCGTCAATTAATCTCTTTTATTTTTAGAATTGATGATGTTAGCAGCGCCATCTCTCTTTAAATATATACATATAATAAAAATGATGATAACATGTTGTGTCTCTTTCTGTACATTGTATATACATTTTGGTGGCTAAAATCATTATGGGGAACTGAAAATAATTAAATAAGAACATTTTATAATTTTTAGAATTGTCTGTCTGTCTATTTGTCGCATGAACGCATCACGTCTAAAGTAAACATCTTTTATTTTCAAAGAAATCGTTAAGAATATCATAAAGCGTATCTTCGAGTTACATTTAATCTTTGTTTTATTAAAATTGGTTAATTCTATCGAAAGTAATTTTTGAAGACATTAATTTTGAAATGTAGGTTCGAATTTGTTCAATGGCGCCATAAAATCTCAGAAATAGTAATAAAAAGATTTCTGTGTAAAAAAAAACGTTCCATAATAATTAATATATTTATACTTAAAACACAAAAAGAGATAGGATGTTTTCTCACACAAAGAACGTAATAGATGGAGTTGTACAAATTACAAACTTTTCTGAATTGCGGTGTTGAGATTTTTCGCCGATGAATCGTATTGAGACTTACTGAAGAAATTTGTATCCATCGAAGCCACACAACGGAACCCGACCAAAAATAAAAATTTTGCAACGAAATGTCGTGATATTGTATTTAAAATATACTCAAAATCAGAACTGCCATTTTAGCGCTTTGGGAACTAGATTTAGCACTTTTTTGGAATGAATAGCGCGCATTTCGAAATTTTAGCACCTAGCGCTTAATCCAGCGCTTTTTGGTGTATTTAGCACACATTTCAATATTTTAGCGACTAGCGGGTTATTAACTCTTTTATAGCAGCACTGTTAGTCCACATTACCGATAATAATAATAATGACCTTTATTATTTTTTCCCACAAATAGTAACATTGCAGTTTATCTTTTTCAAACATATTTTTTCCACAAAACAAAGAACATGGGAGACGAGTCCAAACTAGAATACCCTGTGCTATGGATCTCCTGGCTTCCCCTTTAGGATGATCAACTTGATTTTTTTACCGATGACTATAACCGGGGAAATCCCCTTTATTAAAGTTTTCATTCATGGTTTTGGCAACGCATTTATTTTGCTTTATTCAGTTTCAGTCAGTTGCTTAGAGCACAGCTAAGTTAAAAGTTACTTAGAAGTTATAACACAAAGAAACTGTGTAGCAACCGCAATCAGATGCTGACATCTGAAACTAAGTTGCGAAATACATTGCACTTTAAAACAATTAATGACATTTTTATTGTTCGTACAATACTAACTACTGTTGACAGCAATTGCTATAATTATAAGTCGATGTCCTGCGAAGTATTGATACATCAAAAAAATATTGCCAGAAAAAAAACTTAATGTTGTTTTCTTTATTATGATTATATAAAAAAACACAAACTTTGTTTGTAGTTAATTTAGCGCGAAAACTAGGGCTTTTTTAAAGCGCTGTTTTCATGAAATCTAGCGCTTTTTGTGTTGTCCTAGAGCTGAATGAGTTTTTTTATCTGGCAGCACTGCCCAAAAACCCTCTAACAAAGAAGTAACTTTCCTTTCAGTTTTAAGCGCGTTCAGTTCCCAGTTACAGTGAGTGTGTGTTATGCGATGACCGTAAATAAAGCGCAAGGTCAAACTTTACGCGTTGTAGGAGTGTACCTCAGTACTGACTGTTTTGCATATGGCCAACTCTATGTTGCTTTTTCCCGCGTTAGTAGCCCCCGTAACCTTTTTGTGTATACCCCGGCTAAGCCTACTTCTAACGTCGTTTACACAGAAGCTCTATCATAAACGACTTAGAACTTTGATGATAATGATTTATTTTGTTACCACTTATTGATACAGTAATGAAATAAATCGTTTAATATTCTCTTACCTAAACGACAAATTCTTTATGTAAAACCTGTATACGCGAGCTACGCCGCGGGCACAGCTAGTGTTGAATAAAACTATTTTTTACTGTTTTTTCTCGTTTTTTTTTTTTATAGGATAACGATGACAAACGAGCACACAGTCCACCTGATGGTAAGTAGTTGCTGTGACCCATAGACATCTACATCTATTTTCTATTACAAAATAAGGTTGTCATCCGTGAGGACTAAGATGGAATGCCTCATTTCCAGTAAAAAGGATCTCTGGTTCTCTACACTCACCATACGAAACACAGTAGCGTCAAGCTGCTATTTTTAATGTTTAATTACTATTTTAATTCCCAACGTTTCGGGTGCTTTACAGCAACCCATGGTCACGGGGAGGACTGAGATGTTTGACGTGCCGATGTCACAGTTAGCCCGGCTACCTTCAGTTTTTTAATATTAATGTTTGGTTCGATTTACGCAGAATGAACTTACAGTCATCGGGACGTCATACATCGTCAATTTATTTGAAATCGATGTTGGATGTTCTTTAAAGTGACGCTGTGCTGGAGGTAAGTCTGTTGCCCGATGTATAGACATTGTACTTGTATACAATTTGTGTGGCTCACTATTAATCGTCATTAAACGAAAAAGTGTACAGACCTGTATTAGATTTACTGTCATGTTGGAAGAAAACATCTCCGATAAGTAACTTTCTGACAGGTTCGTTTTTAAAATAAGGAATGAAAAATTCTGTCACAATGCCCCTATACTTCTCTAAAAAGTAGGTATACTATACCCATAAGTATCTTAAAGGGTAACCGGGTTGTTTTTTACAGACTGTATACGCATAGTGTGTGCCTCCTAGGTCTGTACACAGTCTAGCGACACGAATCTCTACACAGTAATATGTACGTGGTACACACTCGCTGCAGCTATATTGTGGTAGAAGAACAATGGCGCGACCAAAAAGTTACAAATACAGAGATACGATTTAAATAACACAATATACTTTGGCATATTATGTCAAGTTTAGTTTCTGGTACGAACAAGGAGGGCGCCTCAAATCGGCATAAGCATTGTATGGTATAGACAGTCGAGAGCACTTATATATATATATATATATAGAGATCAGTGATTTTAATTCCTAATCAAGAATAAATGTAAGATGTCTATGGGTCACAGCATTCATTTACCATCAGGTGGACTGTGCGCTCATTTTTCAATCTTATTCTATAAAAAAAGTCGTACATAATGTGCACATGTGAATTGGCTTTTGTCAAGTTAATTCAGTGCGCTCTACCATCGTGGACTGCATCACCACTTACTATCCGACGAGATGATAGACAAGCAATGACTGCATTGTGACTAAGGTATGTAAGGGTAGTATGATTACCTTAGGCTTTGCCGCCTTTGTATAAAACCTTAACTAAGAGGAGAACAGAGACAAAAACGCAAAGTCGTATAACTAACATACTAAGAAAAAAATAAACAAGCTTTGCCAATAATTAGAAACAATTAACAACTCAAAAATCAACTTTAAATAATGTTAATGACCATATTTAAGCTGTCGACTGTCAAATTATCGTCGGTAAAGCAGTAGATCTATCGTATCACAGAGCTATCTATGCAAATAATGCTGTAGTTTTCGAGTAGAAAGTGACCATATTTACCGGATGACCATATTACACTCACGTACGTTAGTAAAATATAAAATATACAAAATGAAACAACATTAACGATTAATAAATTTATTTCCAATAAGAATTTTAATCCCTCATAATTTTACAATAACCAATACAATAGAAAACATACAAAAGTTCCAACTTGTTGATCGTAGAACACTAAAGCCAATATTACCAGATACTGCCGCGATTATTTCCCAATGTTAGTGGGATTTTTTTTTTTTACATCCAATATGTAACGTTATATTTTAATACGTCAATTACATTTTACTATAAACATTACGTAATACATTGCATTGCATTCCCTATTTCTTACAAAACAATACAAAGGGCGGACTGCATGCCATTATTAGCCCATTAGGCCAAAAACATCTATGAATACAACTAGACAAGCGCACCAGTACTAATAATACATTGCGCACTAAGTTACGGTCAATTCTTCAACCGGGCAAGAAGGCTAGTTCTAACCCGCAAACGTTGTTTTAGTGACTTATGTGCGCACTTTGTCAACGAGTCTTTAAGTTTATTCAGATAAATATGTAACTTTATTTTGTATTAGGCTAAAAATGGTGCACCAACAATTGCGTGGCATATTAACCGGGCCAGCTACCCGCCCGCGCGATCAATTGCAAAAATTGTGTCACAGTTTTTGTTCTAAATTGCCGCTCTCGTAGTATATACATAGAAGTCTTTGGTTGATATTAAATTTTGATAAGCTTTTCCCGACAACACTGAAAAGCGATCATTGAATTAAAAGACGTGTGAACATTATTTATTATTATCTCACAATATTAATTATTTAATTATCACTTTATACATACATAGTGACTTTGGAGTGCAAATATTATCATCCTTTTCTATATATAATTTACTATTATTTGTTATATAATATATCCCTCTATAGCTGCTTTCGTTTAGAAAATTCTACACAACTGAGATTACGTCTCATTTTAATTAAGCAAATTCCCAGTCTAACTTTGTGCTTAAATAGCACGTAGCTTTTATGACATTATATAATCTATCTGCTCTCTGAAGGCCTGCGCTCAACAGTAGGAATTATAGAGGCTGTATCTTTCCTTTACTTTTATACAGTTTATGTCATTCCATAAAATATGACGGGAACAGTTAATCTATATTAAATATTAAAGGCTCTTTTAAGGCTTTGTTATCATTAATTATCAATCAGATTCACATATGTAGTTTAAGCTTATAAAAACTACAATCTATTAACCTTTTTTAGTGCACTTTAATTTTTGCGTAGATCGGACCTGTGGTTAATTGTCCTATTGGGACGTCTAACAAACCAGTCATCCGTGACCATGGATACTGTAAGGTACTCAAAACGTTGAAAATATAAAATAAAATAATTTAACGCGACAAAATCCGTAAAAACTGGTTTCATTTAAGAAACATTTCACCAATAATAATGTGATTTAAATAAAGTTAAAAAAAAATACTTTGACGTATAAACATTTATACTTATCGCTACATATAAAAGCTAAAATCTGCTAATTTATGTTTCATAGCAAACTGCTGCCTTGATGGTACAAGCCTAAGTTAAAAATAATGTTTTTTTTGTCAGTGTCAAGTGTTAATCAAATATGTTAAAAGTCATTACAAATTAGTTGAAATAATAATTATAATTCAAACGTTGAAGACTTCTAGACTTGGTCGTTAGCAATATGTATTAGAGCTCATGGGCTCACACTCACTCAGTCTATGCCATATAAAGGTATTCTGTGCCTCTGACCACGTGCCCCGCATTGCCACACAGTTTGTCCGCGGTGTCTGTTCTAGTAAGTAGTACATATCAGTTCAATTAATTCAAAATGTACTATATTTAAGGGTTTAAAGTTTATAGCTGATCTTTGTACCTACAGACATACAAAGAAGGAAGCTAATAAAAAAGTAGATAAAGAAAACAATAAAAATGATAACTAGTAGTTCTAAATAAAAATAAAATATTTTACAGATTGATCCCTATCTTCAATTTTAACTAGTTCAATGATGAATAATATGTATTTGTATAAGTATAGTTACGTTAGGAATGGCGAAATAACATAGCGAAACTTACCAATTCTCACAGATAAAAAATTGGTTCGTTAGAATAGTTGCCATACTTAAAAGATAATAATTTTTAGTAAAGCCGTATCTTATCGCGAATTTCGCGACATACATAAGAATTACTTATTCCAAAAAAACTTGATTTCTTGATGTGCATAAAAATGTGTCCTGTGTAAATAATCTATGCAAAATTATACAACTCGCACAGAAAAAGAATGGGGTTATAAATGGCGTCATATCTATTCACCTCTCGCTTGCATACTGTCGTTGTCTATACTCACACCCTGTGGTAGCGACTATATAAAAAGTTACCAGCCGTCACGGGACGTCCGGTAGAAATTGTAATTAATGAAAACCAATACATAAAGAAACATGTAGTAAAATAAATTTAAGAAGTTTACTATAGTCGAATTTAAACGTACACGCATAAGAGTCGGTCGGAATCGGAGTCGGTTTTACTGCCAAGGTGCGCCAATAGATGTTTCACAGAAATAATAGTCATGTATGCGTTGCGATAGGTGGTTTTGTCCTTCTAACTTTGTCTAAATAACACAACGTAACTGTTCAATAAACTTTTTAAGTATTGGGTATCATATTTACATAACGTTTTATATGGGGTGGAGCGTAGCATAGCCCTCTTATCCACGACTCCGATGCAATTTATTGTACCAATCTGAAGCTCTCTGATTGTGATAAAACTTAACACAATTAATCTAAGTAATGTGTAAACAGTACGTACATTTATTTTTATAGCTCTAGCTATTTTCATTGATACAAAAATTGAGATTTTCATAATATACACACAAATTTGTACGTGTATAGATAATATGTGGATAGAAAATATGAACTATTTGAGATTTAATTTAAATTATTTGGTACATTTTATTATAACGAATAAGTCTGATCGATACTTAGTTAACAGTATACTGTTATCTATGTATACAAATAAATAAAATTGAAGTGTCTGTTTCTAATGTCAAAATAACTTAAATTACTTATAACAAAAGCATAATTTTTAAAAATATTGTCTGTCTGTCTTTGTTTATTCCGGTTAATCTCCGAAATGGCTGGACCGACTTTGACGTGATTTTAATTGACAGATAGCTGTTGTTATAAGGAGTAACTTAGGCTACTTTTATTTTAGAATAAGAATCAGGGTTCTGCGCAAAAAAAATTCTAATTTGCACGCGGGCGAAGTCGCGAGGAACAACTATTTTGTAATATACGATAACAAGTCCAAATATTAAAACAGTAAATATAACCCGACTGCGTAAAAACATTACTGAAAAAAGAATTTATTTTTATCTATAACCTAAATCACTCACATAATTAAGACGAATCTAACAATACCTCAAATTACGTTACAATCCATCAAGTTGTTTATGCTACAGAGTGTGCATACATACATGCTCTGTAAAAATATTGCCCTATTTCTAGGGCAGTCCGGTATAAAGATTTTTCGCTTTAGGTATCGTGTATGCTGACTGTACAAGCTCGATGAGCCAGAACTACTACAGCAAACTACTGTATACATAGTTTATGGATGGGCCGCCATTTTGAAGCCCATTCTTTATTCTTTATCCGCATGGGAAGTATCTATGTAATTTTAGTATAAAATGCGCATGTGCGTATTCGTCTATTCACAAATAGATAAGTAAATGTTTCTACATGAGTTCAAATTTATATTTAAAATAAATAAAATCATTGTATGTATGTCGCTATGATAGCACTAAAGCTAAATGCACAGGCGATGGATTTAATCCATCCAGTCGTCGCCGCCAAAGTCCACGCTCTCCGAAAAGGACTCCACCTGGACCTAGGGGAATTAAAATAATTATTACCCTGATGATGGCGTGAAGTGAAACTGGTCGGTTTTTGTACTTAGTATGATAATAATTAATTTAAAATAAATATTATGAAACTGGTACAAGTGTTTATCCAAATCATACTGCATTGGCACTTCACATTCTGCACTAATTGCGCTTGCCAGTACGCGGCTGCTACTCGAAATCCTTCCTAATGAGGGCTAATAATTTTCTGCTCACCAGATGTCGCTAGTTAACACTGAGGTAATGTTTTTGGTACACAATGTCATTTAAATGAGAATTTGTTTTTCAATAAAAGTTTTTCAGTTTCTAGAGTATTATATTAATACACAAAAGACAGTGGTAATATGTCAGTGGTTTGCTCTTTAATTTTTATGCAAATCATTTTTAACTTTTTTTTAATTTTTCTAGTTTTATGAATATCTGTGATTTGATTTATTTATTTTTAATGTTATTAATATAAAATATAGCTAATGGTACAGAAAGAAAGTATAAGTTTTACATTTTTGGAACAAATTAACTTCCACGCTATGAAATCTGTCAAATATTATAGCTCACTTTCTAGTGGCGTCGCCCTGTGGCAGAAAAAGTCGTGGATACCCTCATTGGTTGTCAGTTCATTGAGCTATATGGCCAGCTTCGTTGGTATCTATCGGTTACGGATTCTATCGCAGCACATTAAAATATATAAAACAGATATTTATGAATTATTTCATTAACAAGAAATATTAATATACTATTTTAATTTTTCCCTTCCCTCCCTTCCCTTGGAATCCCTTAATTCATCCTTATACGGTAAAAAAAATGCTCACTATTTATTACTGGTCAGGTGATTTATTTTTATTTAATTTCATATAAATATTAATATTCATAAAAATGAGGTGCCAAACGAATTTACAGTCCTCTGGTAATAACTGCCTAACTTTAAGCAAAGAAGGCTTCAGGTGCGTTGCCACCTCTGAGGAATAAAATGGAATGCCTCACTGTGTGTAAGGGCTTGTAGTGAAATGTAAAATAGGTGCCATTTTGTGTATCAAATGTCTGCGCATGTGAACTATTAGTGGAAACGTTGTTTGCTCGGCGCCTTGAGATAATGTCGTTATAAACTGTCTGCTGGCTTAAGCCGCCGTCAAATTCTCCCAAGAAATTCGCAATATGTGACGCATCAACATGTTGTAAAGACATTTTTAAATACATTACTTCATTCAGATAATTTCATAATACTTTCAGTCTCTACTAGCGACATCTGGTGAACGAAAGATTATTAGCCCTTATTGTGGACCGATTTTTTTTTAATAAATAGGTTATATTTCAGGGGTGGTCCCGTTTTTTTATAAAATAGAGTTTACAAAGGAGCACACAGTCCATCTGGTGGGCAGTGGATGCTGTGGCCCATAGATATCTACATTTATCCTCGATTAAGAATTAAAATGCAAATGCCTTGTATGTAGGGGGATGAGTCGCTCGCGTCCGTAGGCTTCGACCACCTAATCCTAGGCCCACCCTACACGTGTCCCCCGGGTGGTGCTAAACAAGCGACAAAGCCGAAAGAACAGACTCGGCTCCTTGCCGTGTGGTAGCGGCGTAAAAAAAATACCACACCATACTTTCGCACCATGAGGCAAAAAATTTACGAAATGGCCCCGAGTTCCCGGCGCCCCTAATCTCCGGGAGGAAAACCGGCGACGAGGTTCGCCACCCGTCACGTTCTGTCCCCCGGAGGGGCGAAAAATGGATTGCGGAAGCCCGTCTGGCTACATTGAATGTATGTGGAGGAATGAATGATAAAATGGATGAAGTATGCGATATGATGTATGATAGAGGAATAGACGTGTTATGTGTAAATGAGACGAAACGGAATGGAAAGGATGCCACTATACATGGCATGTATACCGCGTACTGCTCTGGTGTACACGAGACCGAGCGGGCATGCCAGGGAGTCGGTATCATCCTTTCAGAAAGAATGGGTCATTGTGTGAAAGAGTATGAATGTGTAAGCCCGAGACTGCTATGGATACGAATGAAAGTGGGCTTAAAGAAGTTGTTTGTTTTAGGGGTCTACGCCCCAGACATGTCTAAGCCCACTTATATCCGAGAGCAGTTTTGGGAGTTGGTAAGGATGGTGCTAATGAAATGCAAGGTTAATGAAAATGTTGTGATATTAGGCCTACTTTAATGGAAGGTTTGGGGTGAGGAGGCTTGGTTATGAAAGGATATTGGGAACGTTTGGTGATGAAAGTATAAATGAGAATGGTGAAAGCCTTCTCGCCGTATGCGTGGAAAAGAATCTTGTTGTGACGAACACTTTCTTTCGTCATAAGAAGATTCACACGTATATATGGGAAAGAGGTGATGATAGAAGTATGATAGATTTCATAATTGTTGATGAAAGAATGAGGAGCGCGGTGGTAGATACAAGGGTTTACCGGGGTTCTAACGTAGGGACGGATCATTACTTGGTCTTATGCCGAATTAATGGTCTTTTCAGACGTTGGAGGCATCGGACATCTGTGTCTACCACTGCGTTACAGCGTTTAAGAACAGAGAGGTTACAAGACGAAGGTGTGAAAGAGAAGTTCAAATGTAGATTGAGAGAAAATATAAGTGGTATGGCTGAAATGTGTAGGAATGATTTAGACTTGGAGACTGTGTGGTATAATGTCAAGAAAGGTTTAGTGGATGCAGCTACCGAAGTATGTGGTGTAAGTAAGAAAACCGATGAAAGGAAAAATAACACGTTATGGTGGGATGATGAGATACGGATGGAAGTTGAAGCAAAGAAGAAAGCATGGCTAGATTTACTAGCAACCAAGGCTAGTAATTCTAGCAGTATGAATGATGATATTGAAAGGAAAAAGGCAGTTTTTAGACACCTAAATAAGAGAGTAAAAGAAGTAGTTGACAGGAAAAAGCAAGAAAGAATGGATAAGAATGATAGAAGAATATCGGATAACTTCCAGGCAAACATTAAAATGTTCTGGAAACTCGTAAGAACTACCAGGGGACATTCCAAACAGCTAGGCTGTTAATGAATGCTATACGAGACCAGAATGGCTGTATTCTGAATGACGAAGTTTTGAGTTTAAGGAGATGGAAGGAATACTTTGAAAGCGTGTTTATGAGTGATGAGACGTTTGAATTAAATGAAATAGAAATTCCGAAAGAAGAGGAAATAGATAGAGATATAAGTATAGATGAAATAATGAAAGCAATGAAAAGTATGAAAGTAGGTAAGGCAGCCGGTTATGATAGAGTATCTCTCGAAATGCTAAGGGCTGGAGAAGGAGTGGTGGCAGACCTGCTGTACATCTTGTTTAATTTATGTTCGGAACTTAAGCGGGTACCGGGAGACTGGTGCAAAGCCATGATAGTCCCAATATATAAGGGAAAAGGATCACAGCAGGACTGTAAAAACTACCGTGGTATCAGCCTTCTTAGCATTGTGGGAAAACTGTATGCTAAGGTACTAATTGAAAGAGTTATGAAAGAAACTGATGGAAAAATTTGGGATGTGCAAGCGGGATTTAGAAAGGGAATGGGATATACGGATCTTCCATGCGCATGATCGCGGAAAAGTTTTTGGCCAAAAACCAAAAAGTTTTTTGTGCGTTCAAGACTTGGAGAAGGCTTATGACAGAGTGGACAGGGATATGTTATGGCAAACACTGAACTCATTTGGGTTGACCGCTGGTCTGATACAGGCATTGAAGTCTCTATATAGGGACTCTAGTGCTTGTGTCAGGATCAACGGGGCCTACTCAGACTGGTTTGGCATCCATAAAGATGTCAGACAGGGCTGTGTGGCTTCCCCGTGGTTGTTCAACCTATTTATGGACAGTTGTTTAGAAAATTTGAAAGTAGAAGAATGCGGGTTAAGAACGGGTGAGTTAACCGTCAAATGCCTTTTGTACGCCGATGATTAAGTCATACTTGCATCGTCGGCAGCCGAGTTGCAAATGATGGTCACATTAATGAACAGGACATTAAAAGAAAAGGGAATGAAAGTGAACGCAAGTAAGAAGTTATGGTTTTTGAAAGAGAAGAAAGTAAAACGATATTTTTAATAAGAATAGAAGGGGAGTTGGTAGAGCAAGTAGATGAGTTTGTATATTTGGGATGTGTGTTTAGCAGGGATGGTAGATATGATAAGGATATAGAACGACGAGTGAATGCAGGAAATAGAGTGAATGGGGCTCTACACTCTATTGTGAAAAGTCGGAATGTGTCCAAAAAGGCACGTATGGCAATTCACAATGCTGTGTTAGTACCTACTTTAATGTATGGTAGTGAAAGTTGGGTGTGGCAGAAGAAGCACGAGAGTAGAATAAATGCTGTAGAAATGCGGTCATTAAGGAGTATGTTAGGGATGAATCTGAATGACAGAGTGAGAAATTGTTTAATAAGAGAAGAGTGTGGTTTGCAAGATGATGTGACCAGGATTAAGAAAGGAATGCTTCGGTGGTTTGGCCATGTAGAAAGAATGAATGAGGAAAGAGTGACAAAGCAAATTTATGTTGCAGAGGTGAACGGCATAGTCGGGAAGGGTCGCCCTAGGCGAAAGTTTATCGACCAAATTGGCGATATATTAAAAATGGGCCAAATCAAGAGTACCTTTAACCGACGAGCGTGTATGCGTAGGTATATGGATGTGGAGGAAGCGAGAGAGGTGTGTCAGGATCGTGCCAAATGGAAGTCCATAATCTCTGCCTACCCCTCTGGGTGACAGGCGTGAGTGTTTATGAATGTATTTTATGTATGCCTTGTGAAAAAATTCCACCCCTAAGGTAAAATAGGAATATCCGTAATTTGATTTATTCATTTTTAATCTTATTAAATATAATATACATATTTTCAGAAAGAAACTTTTCTAAAAACTACACTTTTCTGACAAATTAACTTTCCCCGCTATGATATCTGTTAAATATTGCACTATATTCATTCACCATGGTGTGAGATAAAGTGGTAGAGAAGCCCTGATTGCTCCATAATTCTCAAGAATGAGAAAAAGCTTGCGCCATACAGTTCGAGGAATATATTCGTAAGTTGTAACTTTAACATATCTAACTCAACTTTATTATTAAATGTGTAAGCTGGTTTATCACTTTAATTTTATACAAAAAAGCTAATCTGAGTACTAGCCTACTACTGCCTTTTAGTGTATAGTTAGTAAGCTTTTTAGTTTAAAGAAAAAGCCCTCATTGTAGTTGTTTTTTGGTCAAATAAACTTTTTTTTAATATTTACCTCGTCGTGGGTCGGACTGTCCGCACTGAAGCCGCCGCCCAGCGCGTAGCCGGCGAGCCCGCCCGCCGCCAGCGCGCCCACGCCCAGCCCCACCGCCGCGCCCGTGCCCAGCCCACGTCGCTGCGCCTGCGTCCCGACGTACGTCGGCTCGTAGCCCTGCAGTTCACTTGCTCAATTATACAAACGAAGATTATTTTTTTTAAACAAGGGTGACAAACGAGCCTCAACCTCGACGTACGTCGTCTCGTAATCCTACACTTCCCTCGATCAATTGTAGGAACGAAGTCGTTCACATTGATAAATTTCAATATTTTTACCTTAGATCATATATTTTCTAGATAAAGAATTTCGCGCATAAATACGTAGAATACATAGGCTGCACTAAAAGTATCGGGAACGGAATATTTCCACTGTTCCTGTCACATTAAAAAAAATCTTTTTAATTGAAAAGTCCTTGGTTTTAAAAATCGAATTATTTAAAAAAAGATTCTCGGTCTTCTCACAAGGTTTTATCAAACTTGTTTAGTCGTTGAGAAAATGGAATTGAGTCGAGAAAATTCAAGAGCGATGATTTATTATGACTTTCGAAGTGGTTTAACACAAAAACAGTGTGTGACCGGATGATTTCTGCATTTGGTGATGAAGCCCCATCCAAAACTACAATTTATCGCTGGTTTGCTGAATTTCAACGTGGATGTGTCAAGCTCAGTGACGATCCCCGTCAAGGTCGTCCAAAAACTGCAGTCACCCACGAAAACGTTGATGCTGTGCGTAAGCTGATTGAGGAAGATCGACATGTGACATACCGCGAAATTCAGGCAACTTTAGACATTGGCATGAGTCAAATACAAATAATCTTGCATGTACAATTAGGTGTAAAAAGTTGTGAAGAGCAAAAAGCGGCTCGCGTTACTTGGTGCGTCAGAACTCTCGAAAGATTCCACGCAGGATCCTCAAATGCTGTATACAACATCGTATCAGGTGACGAATCCTGGATATACGCTTACGAACCCGAAACAAAAAACCAGTCACGAGTTTTGATGTTCGAAAATAAGTTAAAGCCAACAAAAATTGTTCGTTCATGGAGTGTTGCAATAAAAATGGTGGCCACGTTTGTCTCTAAAACCGGCTATGTTACGATTATTCCTCTTGAGGGACAAAGAACGGTTAATGCAGAATGGTATGCTATCATTTGTTTGCCACAGGTCGTTTCTGAACTCCGTAAAGAGAACTGCAACCGCCGCATCATCCTCCATCACGACAATGCGAGTTCTCACACCGCACACAGAACAAAAGAGTTTTTAGAGCAAGAAAACATAGAATTATTAGACCATCCGTCCGTCCATCTGTACAGCCCCGACCTAAGCCCTAATGATTTCTATACTTTCCCTAAAATAAAGAAAATAAATTGCGTGGACAGAGATTTTCATCACCTGAAGAAGCTGTGGACGCCTACAAAACGGCCATTTTGGAGACCCCAACTTCCGAATGGACTGGTTGCTTCAATGATTGGTTCCATCGTATGGAAAAATGTGCCAAATTTCGCGGAGAATACTTCGAAAAGCAATAAATACATTTTTAAATAGTAATGTTGTGTCACTTCCTTGATTCCCGTAATTTTCAGTGCCGCCCTCGTACACCAGCCAGCTGTTGGCCTGTAGGAGAGCCGAGTTATTAAAATACTCTTTATTTTAGTGACAATTATTATGATCTCGTTAAAAATACAAAATAACGTATTATCGTTATTTTGTATTTTTTACGCTATTTATTTATTTATTTATTTATTCTTTATTGCATTCCTTAAAACAAAAGAATACAAAGGGCGGACTTAATGCCTTGAGGCATTCTCTACCAGTCAACCCATGGAGTGGTGAGAATTTGACGTAGGTGCGACAATATAGAATAAAATAACAGTACACAAAATAATAATTAACTACATAATACATACAATTTACTAATAAATAAACTATACATATATGACGTATACAAACATATATACAAATATATACATACAAATATATATATTTAATCTTGCCAGAACAATACGTGGCGACCGAGATTACGCAATGATACGTAGTAGTATTAAATATTAAAATTTTGTCATCTCTAGAAATAATTTATTAATTTCAACAAATGTTATTCTTTTGTTGACGTCTGTACCCTAGAGTAATTACGTAGGTAATATACGGTCTAGACCATGGAGTCCAGACTACGTTACTTTTTCAGTGTTCCATATTAATTAAACTTAAAATTCGCCGAATCAGTGCCGGTTAAATTGGTATGCTGATATGTTAATTTTATCACTGTCCCGTGAGTCATATATGAACATTACGATTGTTTAACTAAAGTGTCTTTTTCGCGGACAGGCAAGTTCTTAAGATAAAACTTGGGAATTCGTCATTGACATATTTTGTTTTAATTATGAATGTCCAATTAAAATTAGATATCGTTTTTATTTAACTTTTGATGATTTTTTGGGCTAGTAAAATAACGATATTTATAATATTTTTGTCCTTCCATGTGATTACAGCATGTAGTTCCAAATTAATTAATGGTTGCCAATTTTAATGAGTTTAATATAGACCGAATTCTTCTTCAAAACTAAAGTTTTTGCGATTTTTACAACGAATTCATATTTAGTTTTAAAGGAATATGTCCGGTAAGAAAACTTCAAAACATCGGATAATTGACAAGCTCTCAAAATGGTTGCTACTTTTTTCAGTGCTCACGACGAATTTATGTTCATAGACCACACGGACTTCCAGATATTTATTTTAGAAGCAGTCGGTACAGAGTCAAAAATTTTAAAATGGCGGCGAACTGAGTGCTCGTTTTTCACACAAACTTTTATTAAAAACAATTCAACTGTAACCATAATAAGCACCATTGCTTACCCCGGATGTGAAACCTGAAACAAAAAGAGAATATATTTAGACACTTATAATAATTGGAAGCACGTGCTTGTCTTTTTTCTTAAATAAGGATGACTAACGAGCACACAGCCCACCTGATGGTAAGTGGATGCTGTGGCCCACACCCATCTACATCTATTCTCGGTTAGTAATCAAAATTTGTCACCCTTAAGGACTAAGATGAAATGCCTCGCTCCAGTAAAAAGGGTCTCCGGTTCTCTACACTCACCCAACGAAACAGCAGCATTGAACTGCAATTTTACGCTGGTATTCTGTGAAGGAGAGGTCCTTGACCGGCTTAACAGGCCAGAATTACGATTCTCCACAGTGGACTGCCTTCCACCATTGGTTTATGGAATTTGCTATCGCATATTGTCTGTTAATTCAAAATTTTAGAATTGAAAAACATAGAATAGTAATTTGTTTTTAACTTTTTCATGTTTTTCTTTGTTCCATTAATATTGTTACTTTTTAATTATATTTGTCAAAAACACTATTCGTTCTTAAAATATTAACTTGACAGTTTTGAGAGGAGCATTTTTGATTTATATTTTTTTTTCTAAAATTAGCCTCTATTCTATTGGTCTTGAGATTGTATTCTCCAAGACTTTGGTTTACCGCAACTCATGCTGAATTACCTTTTTTGGGCATGACGTAAGACGTTCAAAGCTATGTTTATGCAGTTTTTTTTATTAATTTGAAGAAGAATTTCAGCAAGGAACCCAACGGGATTTTTTTAAATCATATAAACTTTTCAATTATTTTATACTACAATTTTTTGATATTAATAGAAATAGCATGGTGGTGATCACCTATTGCCAGGTGTTATTTTTGTAAAATTTTTCTTTAATATAACTTTTCAACCTGTTGATTAACTAAAGTCGTTTTAGTCGGTATTTTAACAATAAAAAATATTTGTAAAAGATAAATTAACTAGACAGTAAGGGGCTGATTAGACCGTGTGACCTGGATCTGGGGTTCCGCAACTTCTCAGTGGGCTAGTACTCAGGTTAGCTTCTTTATGTAAAATCAGTGACAAACGAGCTTACACATTTGATATGTTAAAGTTGCAACCTAAGAGTATATTTTCTTTCTCTCAATTTTGAAACTTATGGAGTAATAAGGAGCAATCTACGACTTTCTTTGCCACCAGGACGGCGCCACTAAGGAATGGGGTGGAATATTTGGCTTAATTAATTATATATACATATATATAAGTACAATTTTGAGTAAATTTATTATGAAAATGAAAGTTTAATGTTTGTTTCTGAATATTAATTATATTTTATATTCATTTGATTAAAAATGTAGAGAGGTGCAAGACAGGTTGACGTTATATCCCCGAAACTCTTCACCGCCGCATTAAAAGACGTTTACAAGCAGTAGCTTTTATACCATATCCTTTCCAGTCCAGTAGGACTGGAAAGGATATGGTATTAACGTCAATGGCGAGTAGGTACATCACTCACAACAGTCGATTTGCCGACGATATAGTCCTTATGACAGAATCGTTGGAGGCCCTAAGTACTATGCTTAATGACCTCAATAGTGTCTCCCAGCGGATAGGTCTTAAGATAAACACAAACAAAACCAGTCATGTGCAACGTCCATGTCACACCTATGCCGGTAATTATTGGGAGCACTAAGCTCGAAGTTGTTGACGATATGTTTACCTGGGGCAAATAGTCCGACTAGGTAAGTCCAACTTCGACCAAGGGGTCAATCGACGAATTCAACTCGGCTTGACAGTTCAGGAAATTACGACACATCTTCTCATCATGCATACCTCAAAACAAGATTGTTCAACCAGTGCGTGTTGACCTATCGATCTGAGGCGTGGTCCTTCACTGCTGGCCGTGGCCGAAAGGGCTATGCTCGAATTTCGGTTTCACTGCGTGATATACTTAAAAAAGAGGATATTCGCAATAGAAACAGAGTAACCGACATAGCCCAACGGATAAACAAGCTGAAGTGGCAATGGGCCGGCCATATAGCTTGAAGAACCGACAACCAATGGTGAAGAAAGGTTCTCGAGTGTTGCCTCGTACCGACAAGCGAAGTGTATGGCATTCCACCACTAGATGGAATGACGACCTGGTAAGACCTGATAAGGAAGTCAATGGATGCAGGTGGCTCGGTACCGAGTTTTGTAGCATTCCTTGGGAGAGGCCTATGTTCAGCAGTGGACTTGTGATGGGCTGTAATGATGATGATGATGAAAATTAGAAATGGACAAACCAAACTACGGATATTAATGAAAGAAAAATTAAAAATAAGAGAAAAACCGTGCAAAAAATTAAAGAACTAACTACTGAGGTATTGTTTTGTGAATTTACACTCTCATAACTGATAAACTTTTATGTTAACAACTTTTCAATTACGTATTTATAACATTGTGTAACAAACAACTTCACCTTAGTTGCAACTATCGTCATCTTGTGAGCGGAAGTAGTCCGTCATGATGCTCTACTATGTGAAGACAAGTTTTTATTTCTCAGACAGGTTTCCTCACGATATTTTCCTTCACTCCCGAGCACGTCGTAAATCAACAGTTAAATTGTAATTCACAATTCCATTGGCACTAGCGGGAATCGAACCCAGATTGGTCGCATACCGCAATTTTTTTTTACATAAAATATGGGTGAAACACGAGCACTCAGTCCACCTGATGGTAAGTGAATGCTATGGCCCATTGACACCTACATTTATACTCGATTAAGAATCAAAATGTAAATGCGTTGTCACTCTTGAAAACTTAGATGGAATGCCTCGTATTCAGTAAAAACGGTTCTCGGTTCTCTACACTCGCCATATGCTGCTGTTTTACCCCGGTATTCTGTGAGATCGTGGTCGTTCAAGCCGACCCCTTCGTACTACCCCCATAATATAGCTGCAACGTGGCTCTACCACGTGTAAAATTTACGGGGAGATTTAGCCACTGAACTACCCCTAGTTGTAAATCGTGCGGATTTGGGGACATACCGCACGCTCGAATAAAAATCAATTGCCGCACGTATGAAAGTTCACCACTTGAGAACGGCTGGACCGACTATGAATAATTTTTTGTGTGTGTTATATAAACCACCAGAGTCAACCACATTCAGTGGCTGACTCTGATGGTTTATATTCGCAATTGGACCCAGTAGGTGGCGCTGTTGTCGAAATCCATAAATGCGCTAGTAGTAGATAAATAAAACGACACGATTAAATGCAATTCTGTATTAAAACATTCTTTTTTTATAATTCATACATAATTAATTCTCAACTAATACAACATGAAATGCACCAATTCGACGACTGATCTAAACTGAGAAAAAATTTGACCGCGAAATACTTATAACCTAAGGTGTATAAAATGTAATGCCCCAAAACACGAAATACATTTATTTTTATTATAGTCACATATTTTATTACTAAAATAACAACCTTTTAACTACATTTATAGTCTTGGATGGAGTTTCCTAGTAGGCAATTAACAGAATATATTCATCCTTAGTACAGAACGCAATTTATTGCTAATCTCGGGTATAAAGAAGAGTCTTTGTCAAATACTTCTATGTATGTATATTAGGCATTATGTTACGGTCTCCGTAACTCCTTTAGCTTTAATCGACTACGGGGAGGACGTTATTTTCGACAATCTAACAGTGATTTTGTTTAATTTTACTAAGAAAACGGTGTCGTTATTTATGTGCGCACTTTGTCAATGTGATTTAAAATTTATTTCAGATGTGCATTTAACTTTACTTCGTATTTGCCTAGATGAAAATTAGAACTGCGTGACATATTTACGAATTGCAAGTCTAGTTGTATAAATCGCGGCACGTAAGTCTAGCGCTGAACGAAACGCGGAGGAGACGCGCACCAATTGAATTCCACGAATGCGTCTGGAGAGCCAATCAGCGCGACTTATGCGCAATAACGGTCACCCATAGACTATCGTGCCGCTACTTATACATAGAAGTCTGTATATACATAGAAGTCTTTGGTCTATGTCACTATAGAAGTGCTACGACAATTTGTCAGCCGCGGCGCCTGTCTTCGAAAACTTTGACATTTGCTGTCAAATTCCATACCTTCCATTTTTGCATATTTTCCACAGGACTTCTTTATTGAAACAGACTCTAATTTAAGCCAGACACTAATTATAAACCACTTTTTATAATAAGCGAGATTTATTCTTATAAACCATGCCTCAATATTAAATTTTAACTGTCATTAAAACAACTCTAACATCAAAGTAGGAAAATCGTGGCAAGGCACATCCATTACAAAATGGCGGGAACGCCTTAAAATGACGCTTGAATTATGCAAATATTTTTAAAAAATATTAAAGAAAATACGTAAATTAAGTAGTGTACGATTGAAACTTAGGCTGCCTCGCCTTTGGTAAAAAAAACACCTTCGGCGAAATATTAGGTTTTTGCCAAAATAGGAAGTTTTGTAAGTTTCTAGCTAGCGCCGTAATTCAACGCACTGTTACAAATGAGCGGGAGCGCGATGGACGTGGCGAAGCAATTTTTATTGTCTCTAGATAAACTTCTAGAGATGATTAAAATCACATTTTTATATTATAGACGGTAAGGAAGACAAAGTAACGCCTTAAATGAAACAGCACAATTAGATGTTTTACATGCTTAGCGCTGCTAACTTACTACTTTTTGCGCCAGATATAGCGTTTTTTCCGTCCATAACGCACTTTATTTGGCAACCAGCGATTTTTCCTTTACTCTAATACTCTTAATAACTATAATACACATTATTATAACATATAGAACATTAGCACCGTGCTAAAAGCTTGCAAATCTATAATGCTTAGGATTTGAAACAATAAACATATCTTGTTATATTCACTATTAATTCTTTCAAAGTATTTCGTTTACAAAACTTCACAGTATGCAGATGCGTCACATTACGAAGTTTTTGAGAGATTTTGACGACAGTTAACCCAACCAACAGTTGATGACGATAATACCTCAAAGCCCCTAAGCGGATTAAAAAAATATCGCCATCGAAGCACTTGTTACATCATTTCTACTAAAAATTCACATACGATATATCAAAATCTACTTCAAACCATTATTTAAAATATTAGAGCAGCGATCTACTCACCGGTATTGTAGTTCTTGTCAAAAGCCCTATTTAGGAGAATATATTTTATTTTTACAATATATTTACTTCTTAGTACGCCAACCACCGTGTAGTGGCGGTGTAAGAATATCCACTACCCCATATCATCCCGTGGGTTTATATACATCAACATGTATCCTCGATTAAAAATAAAAATGAAGATGCGTTATCACCCCAGAGGACTAAGCTGGAATGCCTCATTACAAGTAAAAAGGGTATCCGGTTCTCTACACTCACCATACGAAACACAGAAGCATTAAGCTGCTATTTTACGCTGATATATGCAATGCAAATAAGGAAAATAATTCGGTAATATTTATAAAACTTTATAGACATCAAGGATCAATTACCTACGCAAGATTTAGAATCGCATGTGTAAGTATTTAAAATTAGTTATGCAGTTGAAAAATAAATAAATTTATTTATTTATTAACTGCAACAGAAAGTACATTACAATATTTTTAACCCTGGTTTTTGACGCTGGTATTTTAAGATGGGCAAACTTAGAAGCTCCGGTATTCGATTTTGCAAGAGCGACCCATGCAGTAATAGGACTTAGCTATTACTGCTTCTACCTTCTATTAAATGCTTGTTTTATAGTTAAAGGCAAAGGAATCTGAGCCCATACAGCCTAATCTGACATGTATTTTGTTAATGAATTTTTGGGGAGATTTTAACGGCAACTTTATACAGCAGCCAGTTGATGACTATAGTTTTTCAAGGGGTATAAGCGTAAAAATAACTGAGGTTATGTCACCATCGTAGAACTTATTCATCACGTTTACTTATTGTTAACACACATTTCAAACAAAAAATGGCATTTGAATTAACATTTAAGCGATAATACCGCAGCGACATCTGCCTGCTGTCAAGTTCTCACCAAAACTCTAATAAATGTTTTATATTTGACAGTTAAAATTTACCTACACTATTCTGCTCCTGTTCATAAATATGTTTAATATTATAAAAACTATAAGCTACAACATTTTTGGATGAGAAATACTTGAGAATAAACTTTAAAGACAAGAAGAAAATGTCAATCACACTTAATAATTTATACAATACTATATAATGAAATTTGCTTTATAAACTATTTAAAAACAAACAAAACGTACGAAGAACTTTTTGTGAGACGCGCTTTAACTCTTCAAAGTGCACCTGAAAAGGAAACAATAATGATAATACTTTTAAAATAAAATAAAAAAACATAAGTACACAAAAAGGCACTGGCATGAATTTTCCAGATTGTTTTTTAGTACAGGTTTTTAAATATGACTACATTACAAAAGTTTAGATTTTCTCTTTTATCATAGAGGCCGTTTAATAAATTGCACTAGGACAAACATTCAAAACCGGTTTGTTCCGTGCGAGATTCGAACCCGCAGCCAACAGCGCTGCAACTCATTGTTAAGCCTCTGCGCGCCACAGAACCGTCAAAAAGTTCGTGTTATATTCGTGATTGATGATGAAACCAGTGCGTGCTGCTGGCGATTTGCCGAACCCACAACTTTTGAATTCGTGGTCTACACCTTACAATTAGGCTACTGTCGCATACTGCACTGTATTCTATCTCATTCGCTCGCAGGCTAAATTCTATACATTTATACATACGTTTGTCTCTCTTTATTGACATACATACATACTCGAAAAACATTACGCTATTTCCATGTCCGTCAAATTTTATCTAATAAATTTACTGTAAATAAATCTATTGCATGGCTGGTAACTGTTAATACTTTTTTTTTTTAAATCCGTCCCTTTAACTTCCTTATACCTTTATTACTTTAACCTCCAAATGTGAGTAACGATCCAAGAGCAAGTCTTATCAGACACTATTCCCAAAATATCCCGGACGTCAGTCTGAGCGAGATTAGAGAGCCCAGGTGAGGATGGAATTACAGCAGAGCTTCTGAAAGCGGGTGGAAAACCGGTACTTGAGTCCTTCAGAAGCTCTTTAATTCCGTCCTCCATGGTGGCACTACTCCGGAGGCGTGGAGCAGAAGTGCGGTGGTCTTGTTCTTCAAGAAAGGTGACAACGCTCTCTTGAAGAACTACAGACCGATTTCCTTTCTGAGCCGCGTTTACGTGCTGTTTTCGAGAGTCATTACGAATCGTCTCGCACGCAGACTTGACGACTTCCAGCCTCCCGAACAAGCCGGTTTCCGAAAAGGCTTTAGTACCATGGACCACATACACACCCTTCGGCAAATTGTACAGAAGACAGAAGAGTATAATCTGCCACTTTACCTTGAGTATGTGGACTATGTGAAAGCTTTTGATTTCGCCGAAATTTGGCCGGTGCTGCAGGCCCTTCAGCGGTGCCAAGTTGACTATCGGTATATCGAAGTGCTGAAGTGTATGTACAGTAGGGCTACGATGGCTATCCGAGTACAGAATCAGAGTACGAAACTTATCCAACTGCAGAAAGGTGTAAGACAGGGTGGCGTTATATCCCCGAAACTCTTCACCGCTGCATTGGAAGACGTTTTCAAGCAACTGGTCTGGAAAGGATGCGGTATTAACATCAATGGCGAGTACATCACTCACCTTCGATTTGCCGACGATATAGTCCTTATGGCAGAATCGCTGGAGGACCTAAGCACTATGCTTACTGACCCAATAGTGTCTCCCAACGGACAGGTCTTAAGAGGACAAAACAAAAATAGATCATGTTTAATGTCCATGTCACACCCATGCCAGTAGTTGTTGGGAGCACTAAGCTCGAAGTTGTTGATGACAAATAGTCCGACTAGGTAAGTCCAACTTCGACGGAGAGGTCCATCGACGGATTTAACTCGGCTGGGCAGCGTTCGGGAAACTACGACACATCTTCTCGTCAGGTATACCTCAGATACTGAAAACGAAATTGTAGAACCAGTGCGTGTTACCAGTGATAACTTATGGATCTGAGACGTGGTCCTTCACTGCTGGCCGTATGAGGAAGCTCAAGGTCGCTCAGCGAGCTATGGAGAGGGCTATGCTCGGGGTTTCTCTGCGTGATAAACTTAGAAATGAGGATATCCGCAGTAGAACCAGAGTAACCGACATAGCCCAACGCATTACTAAGCTGAAGTGGCAGTGGGCTGGCCACATAGCTCGAAGAACCGACAACCGATGGGGAAGAAAGGTTCTCGAGTGGCGGCCTCGTACCGGCAGGCGTAGTGTAAGGCGACCCCCCACTAGATGGATGCAGGTGGCTCAGGACCGTGCTTTGTGGCATTCCTTGGGGGACGCCTATGTTCAGCAGTGGACTTATGAAGGGCTGTAATGATGAATGATGATGACGAACTTCCTTATATAAATTATTTTTACTGTAGATTGCGCAGGACTGCGCCAATTTGGAATGAGGTGAAAATATTTGGAAAGATTTTATAGCTTGTTAATTAATTTGCTTGAAAAATGTAAGGGTTAGTAATTATTATTTATATTTTATATTAATTAGATAAGAAATTTATAAAGTAAACTTCCGATATTCCTAACAGCAGAAAAATTAAAAAAAAAACTGGCCAAGTGCCTTTTACTGGAAATGAGACATTACATCGTAATCCACAGGTGGGTGTCTATGGGCTACAAAATCTACTTATCTAATCTATCAGGTGAACTGTGTGCTCGCTTTTCTATAAAAACTGACCAAGTGCGTGTCGGGCCACGCACCATGTAGAGAGGTAGGGTTCCGTAGTTGCTCGTCACAATACGTGGGCTTCTTGATAATGAGAATAATAAGTGAGTTCGCGTTTTGATCGCTATAACGACTAAAAATGGATCCAAATAGGAAGATCGTAACTGAAGGACTTATTTTCAAATAAACGTAATAGGGAGTGGTAGTCAAAAAAAATGAAAAAGTAAAGCTAACAGTAGTAATACATATAAGTAGTTTTCTTCATAAAATGTTTATTTTTAACAGTTTCAATTATCATTACAAAGTTATAATGGAGCTAGTATTAGGTCATTTTCTATGGAGTTGTAACGAAATCTTTACAAATCCAAGTGCATTTTATAAGTTGGTCGACTATTACTCGTTAACTTCTTAATTCTACTTAGCTGTGATAGTTTTCCTTTAAACATCATTATATGTATTATACTACTACTATTGTGAATACTACTATTGTGTATACTTTTCTCATTCCCAAAAACACCGGTTTAGTAGTAGAGTGGGGGGGGGGGGACATGACTAATGAAAAACCCCTGAATCGAAAAGATACTGTTCCTGAACCCTAATCTTTTTTAAAAGACCTATCGAACGATACCCCACATGATGGAATAGATGGGTAAAAAAAATCATCCTCCATTTACTTGAATGGAAAGTACCCAAAATAAAAATGTTTTTAAGATTTTATTTCACAGTTTTCTAGCACCTAGGGTCTCTGAGCTAAACCGCGGAAGGACGGACGGACATGGCGAAACTATAAGAGTTCCTTGTTGTGTAACTACGGAACCCTAAAAAAAGTTAAAAATATACAAATAAATGAAAGAGCAAACCACTGAAGAATTATTTTGTATATTAGTATAATACTCTAGAAATTGATAAACTTTTAATTAAATGTAACTCCACAATTAATTGACATTGTGTAACAAACAATTCCACCTCAGTCCCAACTAGCGACATTTGGTGAGCGGAAGATTATTAGCCCCCATTACATTGCTATGCCAATGCCAATGCTCATCATCCATACACTTTACACACAGCTTGTTCCTTAGCTTTAGCTTTGGTTACAAGTGCCGAGTTAACGCCTTGGGGTGGGGGTCTCCATTTATCTCAACAGTTATGCTTATATCTTATGGCTTTCGATAGATGGCGGTATAACCATTAGGTTAATGCCAATCACCAAAACCACAGACCCGGCGATGGGGAACAGACGTCTGCTACTACAATCGCCAATCAGACTGTAAAAGCATGATTAAATAAAATCTTCTTTAAAACAGGAAATTCCTCGTCCAGCTGTCGATTTTTATGAAATAATGAAGACAAAAATCTTACGCATCAGTTAACATTTGTGTCATATAAGAAAAAAATAATAACAAATCTACCTACATTTAGATACTAGCTGCGACCGCTATAAGCCATCAGTAGAAGCCTGCGTCAAAAGAAAAGAAAAATGAATACAATGTTACCAGTTTATAAAAAAAAAAACTACCTAATCGTACAATTACAAATTAAAACGCAAACAAAATTACATCACAATTTTTTTACTATAAATAACCAAAACCATTAAAAGACAACCCATTTTATTACGTATATATACCCAAAAAACATACTAAAATACTTTGTACTAAAAATTACTTTTTTCACAAAAAAAAAAACAAATATAAGCAATGCCATTAACACTATATTTTATTACTAATAGTAAGTTCACCACTCTAGATAAGCTTAAAATGCTTGTGTTAGGCATAGAAGTAATACGTACTACGTACTAGAAGAGACGCTTGCAACACGATTTAGAAACCACGGGCTCAAACTCAGTAAGTCAGTGCCATAAAATGGTCCTCTGTGTCTGGTCCACGCGTACCACACTGCCGCACAGATTTTGCTCGCAGTGTCTGTTCTAGTACGTAGTATATATAATTTCTACGGTGTTAGGAGTGATTCATCACAGTTATCTGTAGTGGATTCGAATCCCGACTTATGAGTTACAATTAAAAAAAAAGCACCCTTCAATCCCACCATTAATCTACGGTCGCTTGGATAAATTACAATAATCACAGTTAGGCACCGACCTCTCATTTTCGAGGATTTGGGACGTCTATAGGCAATATAGCATTGCCTCAATGGTGTCTGGAAGACTTATGACCAAATACTCAAACACTACTCAATTTTAAGACGTTAAGTCTCATGGTGTCACATTGTTCCAAAAGATACACGTATTGCCTTTGCCATGCATGTATATTCGAGAAATATGTATTTTTGTAAAGCGATACCCGAATTCCTTTAAAACCCACGCTGAATCTCTCGAAAGGCAAACAAGGCATATGCATATACATTTTATGCAAACAGTGCTCCTATGATGGCTCTTAAAATATATAATAAATTACCCAATAACTTAAAAGAAATGCCTTTGAATAAAATAAAATTGAGTTCAATAAATGGCTTCTTGATAAGTGTTATTATAGTGTTAAAGAATATTTTAATTGATTGTAATATTATTTAATGTATTATATAATTATATATACTTTTGACATTATGTACAATCAAATTTCATTATTTTAAATAGCACACCGGTACAATTCCCGGTGGAATATTATTGAGACTAAGGGCGCGTTCCGACGACACGCACCCGCTACGCGCACGCCACGCGTGTCAGCACCCGCGTCTAACACGCTTTGAAATTTGTTGCATATAATTTAAGTCTTATGACAAATCAATAAATCTGAAATTGCATTTATCGACGTTCAACTGCACACTCTTCGCACACGCCACACGCCCGCCTTGATCCCGCTCCGCGCCGGCCCCGCGCTCGTCCCGCACACGCTCGTCACCCGCCCCGCTACGCTCTAACGCCTGCGCTTTTTATACAATTTCAGATTTATTAATTTGTTATAAGACTCAAATTATATGTAACAAATTTCAAAGCGAGTTAGACGCGGGTGCTGATACGCTTGGCATAGGCGTGGCCGTACGCGTGGCGTGAGCGTGGCGTACGTGTCGTCGGAACGCGGCCTTACTCTTATACTAAATACCTGTATTACCTAAGCATTTTATTCTGCTAATAAAGATTTTGACTTTCACAGTCACTTTGACTTAGTGATAGAGACAGCAAGAGACTTAACGACTTAAAACAGAGCAGCGTTTGAGTATTTAGGCATTCGCATATCTTCGATATAACAACTTCTCAGGGCGATGAGGGCAGTAATGTTGGGTTTAGGTTGAGGTGGTCTTCGAAAAAGGATAGGCACACTATTTTAGGGCGTGTGTGTGAGTGCTTGTGTGTGTTTACAGAATATGGGTGACAAATGAGCAGGCAGTCCACCTGATGGTAAGTGGATGCTGAAGCGAAAATTAAAAGTGTGAAAAATTTCAACATATAACACACACTTAGTATATATACATACGAAACTTACCTTCTTGTAAGTATAAATACACTTTCACTCGCGATAATGCACAAAAACGTTAGCAGAAACAAAAAAAAAACAAAATACTTAAATAGTTTTTAATTTGTTATTTTCAAAGAAATCATTGATTAAATTTAATATTAATATTTTTGGCATTATTACAGCATAGATATGTTAAAGTCAAAATTTATAACCAGTCAAAACCACGTTTTGAGCAACGTTCTTAGTCAGGTTATGTCTGATTTAAAGTTCAGACTATTTTATTTCAAATTATTCTACGCTTGTGGTTCAAATTCATATACTGTAAAAAGTATACTCGTTTTATAGTTAAATTTGCATAATTAGTCTTTCACTTAAAAGCCAGGTCTGGTCTAGTCGTTTTACTAAACGGGAACCGTTCAATCAGCGGGCTGAATGATATTCAGCCGATGCGTCTAAATAACGATGCACCTATCTTGTAATATCAGCGACAGTAGGTTAAGGTGGCCCTTAACAGATAATTTATAGATAACTCTTACATGAAGATTGAAAAATCGACCTTTCGTAAGATAATATTAGCCTACAGCTGAAACCAAACCAAAGTTGAGCCTGCTAATATGTATTATTTACACCAGCATTATAACAAATATACAGGGGTTATTTGGCTAATAGGCAATAATCGGCCAAACTTGCAGAGAATGTTCAGATTAAGTAATATAGACAAATGGTGAAGAAAAATTAATTAAAATAACCTCAAACATTCTGTCCTTTTTATCTTTTTAATTCAAAATGTGTGGTAATGTATCATTTTGACTAATTTTACTGCGCATGCGCACATTCGTAAGGGTCGATCGGCAGGCAAAAACCTTGTTGCCCATAAATCACATTCAATTTGGGATAATTTCAAATAAAAGTAGAAGCCTTATTTATTCGTATTTTCAAAAACTGCAATAACGGTATATGATTATTTATATATATGAACTTCAAATTTAAAACATGGCTTCTCTTTGAAAAATAACCCTGTATACACACTTCAATCATAATTGTAATATAATTTTTATAGAATAAGAGAGACAAACGAGGACACAGTCCACATGCACATTATAAGTGGATGCTATGGCCCATAAACATCGTATATCCTAGATTAAGGCCCGTATTAATAAATGTTACCCAACGACAAACTCAAGTGCGTAATCATTTGATACGCCCTCACTACGATATCAGCATCTCAAGATCGTTGCTAATTAATAAACACGTAAGAACAGTATCTCAAAACTCTGTACTTAGGAATACTGTTCTGTGACTTGCACTCAATTACACACTCTTGAGAGTCGAGTTTCGTTTATTAATTAGTCTGGCACTCAGCTGATATCGTAAACCTAAAACGCATCTTGGGATATGTTTATTAATAAGATCATAACCTCAAGATTGTACTCAAGTGCGTGTACTTGAGCTGAGTAACGTTTATTAATACGGGCTTAAGAATCAAATGTAGATACGTTGTCATCCCTGATGACTGAAATGAAATACTCCGTTTCCAGTAAAAAAGGATCTGCGATTCTCTACACTCACCATACGACACACAGCAGCATTAAGCTGTTATTGTACGCTACCATTCTGTGAGAGCGTGGTCCTACTCCAGTCGAGCCCAACCATTCGTTCTACACTCATAATAAAGCTGCGGCGTGGTCCTACCACGAATAAAACTCCACTTTTATTATTTGTTAGACATTTTTAAAATATAAATGGAGGAATTAATTACATGTTTTATATATTACAAAAATTATATTCACATTTCAAGTTATTTGCAGTAACTTAATACCAGAAAGAGCGACAGAATTCTAGAAAATTTGTTATAATTTAAACTTAAACAGTATATAAAGCAAAATGCCAAATGAAAAAAGGCTTGCCTTATAAAATAATATGTCAAAACGGACGCAATTTTATCAAAATATAAAGCATATAATACAGATGTTGCAAATTTTAATTATTTACAAAAAAAGGTTTTAAAAACTGACTGCCTTACTCATAAAGTATAATAAATTAGTATAGTATAAGTAGCGGCATGAAAGTATAGCGGTGACCGTTATTGCGCATAAGTCGAAAATATGGTATCATGGGGTAGTAAGCAGTTCGCGGGGCCGGTGTGCGTCGTTCGCACGCGCTAATTGGCTCTCCAGTAGCATTCGTTGCAATTCAATTCGTGCGCGACAGTACCCACGCGCAGCTATCCCCTCCACGTTTCGTTCAGAGCTAGACTTACGTGCCGCGACTTGGAAGTAAAGTAAATTTAAATAATGCTTAAATTTGCTGTCTCTCTCTCTCTCTCTCTCTCTCCCTCTCTCTCGCTCACACACTCTCTTTATGACAAGAGAAACATACAGGTATAGAGATAATTAATACTCAATATACAATAACAATTACCATTACAGCCTATCAAAGGTCCACTCCTGAATATAGGCTACCCCCAAGAATGCTTCATATTTGTCACGGTTGCCGCGTGAGTTGGCAGCCACAATATTTTTTTTTAGTTGTTATTCGGAAAACGCTGCTGCCCATCTCCATTTTCTCCCCTCTGTCGCGTCTTACGATTACGACACACACGGGACAATATGGGATAGTGAATATTCTTACAACGCCCCTACACGGTTATATAATTAAGTAGGGGATAGTGAATGATTAAAGGCCGTTTATAAAATTGTGCAAACATATTATGAACATTTTTTAAAAATCTCTTTAATATACAATATGCATTGAGAGCTGTAATAGCCCAAGAGCCGTGGTAGCTCAGATGGTTAGGGCTCGCTGTTAATTTTACAGTACGCAAGCAACCCAGGTTCGATCTCCGCCGGCACCAATTAAACTGTTAATGACAATTTTAAGTGCCGATTTACCACCACGTTCGTCACAACGTTTATCACCACGGATCACTCCCCGAAGTTGCATGTAACATCAAAGGACTGTTGAACTGCTTCGGGGAGATCCCATGGCTCAAATAATTCCATTATTTGATCCTGCCCACATGCAAAATACGCGCTTAGACGTGGAGTTGCGGAAAACAGACCGTCGTAAACTAAACTAAACTTACCACCACGTGCTCGGCGGTAAAGGAAAATCGCGAGGGAACCGGCATATTTGAGAAATAAGAAAAAAAATATTTCGAAGACGTGTGAAGTTCGCCAACACGCATTGAGGCAGCACGGCGGATGCTTCCTTGCCATAAAACCTCAAAAATGAGAGGAGGCCTGTGCCCATCAGTGGGACGTATATAGGTTGTAACTTTATGCAATAATCTTTAAAATTAACAATGTTGACAACCTACGAACTTCGTTACACTCAAAAGAACTGTTAAATAGACATCGAGGTTTGAAAATACACAAATCAATTAACAAATTTAAATCTATTGTATTTCAATATAGCTGGTAACTAATTTGTTTTATTTTATTTCCTTTTTAGGTATTACAACTTCTTGAGTAATGCATAAAATCGTCCCTAAATCTAGTACTCAAAATCCAGTTCAATATTATTTTTTTGGTAAATATCGTATTGTTATTATTTCTCACCCTTGACAGCGAATATCAGTTAAACAATGAAGCAATTTTCTTTTAACTAATTATCATTTATAAATTAGAGATAGGTATCTACTCCTTATAACATCAGCTATCTGCCAGATAGTTCCGTCAAAATCAGTCTAGCCATTTCAGAGATTAGCCGGAACAAGCAAAATTTTTAAACATATGACGAAAGACACTCTGTGTATAATTTTATTATAGTCATAAAGTATTCATAATGCTTTCATTTGTGTATTTTAGGTAATTGTTTTAGTGTGTTGTTATCATCATAAATTGCAATTCAAAGTTCTAATATTAGTATTAACTAGCTGTACTATTTATTACATTTGGATTTTATGGGTTTTAATTTTGTTGCGCGGAACCCTAATTCTTTTTCTAGCCTTAGTTACTCCTTATTACATTTGCTACCTGCCAGTGAAAGTCCCGTCAAAATCATCCAGCCATTTTGGAGATTACCCGGACAGACAAAAAATTTAAAAATAGTTGTTTTTTGTTAAATGTTTAAATGCATTTAGTAAAAAGCTGTTATTTTGGCATTAAAAACAGACACTTCAACTTTATTTATTTGTATAGATTACTTAAGAGTTAGTACCATAAATGATGTCAAAGTTTTTTAAAGAGAACACGCACATGCTGTCCTTGTCTATAGAGTATCCTACCAGAAATGAAGTACAGACTGATGCAACAAACATTTTGTTTAAAATTTTCTTAATATAATGACAAACAAGCACACATGCCATTTGATGGTAAACGGATACAGTGGTCCATAGACATCTACATCTATCCTCGATTAAGAATCAAAATACAGATGCATTATCACTCTTGTTACTAAAAAGGGATTCCGGTTCTCATCACCATACAAAATACAGCAGCATCAAGATGCTATCTCATGATGGTAATCTGTGAGAGTGTGGTCGTCTCCGGTTGAGCCATCCCATTCGTGCTGCACATCATAGTCATAATATAGCTGTGTTGCTCTACCACATTGTTTGTAAATAAAATAAAATTACATAGTTTCTAGTAAATTCTAAAGCAATTAAGATTATTTACTAAAGTAGTAAAAATAATGGCTTATCCAAAATTGTTTTTATACTCTAGATGAATTTTATTATTATAAATAGAATTATAAACAAAAAAAGTTACATATAAAACATTTTGTGTAAAATTGACTAAATACATTTATATAAAATGATAATAACTGTTGACATGTACACTTCTTTTGATATAAATATGTTAGCGGCCAAACCCGATTTCATTCAGACCAAACTAGTTTGTCCTAGGCCAAATCGCCTAGGCATAATTGAGTCAATGAAAATAATTTTTGTTAAATGTTGACATTTTCAATGTATTGGTTGTTTTTTCGTAATTGGTCTTAACTGTTTTAGTTTGTCTTAAATTCTTACTCATTATTAAATTGTTAAAGGGTTCTTACAATTTTCTCTATATTATGTACTTTACGGAATGGTAATGTAGACCAAAATTATCGTTTAGTGTGCCCGGTACATTGGCACAATATCAGGCACATTATTATTATTATTATTATTACGAGGTAGTAGGTCTGCTTTTCTGCCTGGGAGTCCGTGTGTATACCACCCTCTTACATATTTCTGTTGTATACAAGCAGCAGGGAATGTACAGTCTGCAGGCTATAGAGGGTCAGCAGTACAATTACATGTTGTGAGGCATTCCATCTTATCTCATATTTACGTGGTAGAGTCACGTTGCAGCACGAATGGGTCGTCTCGAAGGACCATGCTCTCACAGAATGCCAGCATAAAATAGCAGCTCATGCTATGTTTCGTACGGTGAGTGTAGAGAACCAGAGACCCATGGAAAGGAGGCATTTCTCAGTCCTCAGGGATGTCAACACATCTGCATTTGGATTCTTTATCAAGGATATATGTGTAGATGTCTATAGGTCACAGTATCCACTTACCGTTAGGTTTACTGTGTGCTCGCTGGTCACCCTTATTCTATAAAAAATATCTTAGACCTTAGAGATGTAACGTTTATGTAGCATATCATTATCTACATATCATTATCAAATTATAATTCTTATAATCTTAAAATTTCCATAAGAGAAAGATAACAAATGTTATAGAAATATATCATTCTTTTCACAGTAGAATGTATGTTGCATAAGTCTATATACCATATTCCGTTTATCCACCCTAAAAAGTCCACCCGGAAATGTATACTACCTTATTGCACTAATAATAAAAAGGGTGACTGTTTTTGGATGGATAAACGAAATAACCTGTATACACCGTCCAAATTAACCCCCGCACACATCCCTCCCGTTGGAAGCACCAAATATTAACCGACACTCCACAATTTACACTATATTGTTTAGATTCACTACTCTGCATGCATAATTTGAAAAATCTGCTTACCTTGTGGTGCACCATACGCTGGTGCCCCGTACACTGGAGGTGGGGCCCCATATGAACCGTAAGCGGGAGGCTCAGCCTAAAACAAAATAATTCAAGCCTTAAATTATTATCCCCCATAACTCTTCACACAGCCCTCTCACATATAGGTACTGATTGTGATGATTATTTTTTTATTATATAGCTAAAAGGGTGGTCACATAAAATGGAAGCCGATTTCACAGAACTTAAGAATCTGACTGAAGTTCTTAGAAGAACTTAAGAATCTCTATATTTTTTTTTATAGAATACGGGTGACAAACGAGCACACAGTCCACCTGATGGTAAGTGGTTGCTGTGGCCCATAGACGTCTACATCTATCTTCGTTTGCGAATTAAAATGCTGATGCGTTGTCAGCCGTGAGGACTCAGATAGAATAGAATGTCTCTTTTCCAGTAAAGAGGGTCTCCAGTTCTCTACACTCACCATAAGAAACACAACAACATTAAGCTGCTATTTTAAGCTGGTATTCTGTGAGAGCGTAGTCCTTCCCCGGTCGAGCCGACACATTCGTGCTACAACTATACAATTAATATAGCTGCAGCATGGCTCTATAAAAATCAATTGCTGTACGTTAGCCTTGATCCGAGTCCGAGTCTGTCTTGCTGAAACTCAAAAATATTTGAGTTTCAGCAAGACGGAGTAAAAAGTTTAACAGACAGCAATTAACAATTGAAATTGTGATGACTTTTTTTGTGTTTGAATGGATCCCCAGATAGTTTAGTTTTGACGGCTCCATGACGTAGTGGCTTAGTATGAGTAATGAGTTGCAGCGCTGGGGGCCGCGGATTCGAATTCCGCACAGAACAAGTATTTGTATGACCTACAAATAATTGTTCCAGGTCTGGATGTTTGTCCTTGTGCAATTTATGTTAACTATGGAACCCTACCTCTACACAGGTTTTCTTTTGTTTAGATTTTTGTTTTGATTGACAGCTATTTTTTAAATAAAATTTATATAACAAAAATAAAATAAAATAAATTGTCACACATATACATGTTAAATGTTATTTTATGTGCATTAAACTTCTATTATAACTATAATAATCACATTTTTTATAGATTATGGTTGACAAACAAGCACAAAGTCCAAACGATGGTAAGTGGATGCTGTGGTTCATAGAAATCTACATTTATCCTCCATTAAGAATCAAAATGTAAATGCATTGTTACCCCATTAGGACTAAGATGGAATGCCTCGTATCCAGTAAAAAAGGGTCTTCGGTTCTCTGCACTCACTATACGAAACACAGCAACATTAAGCTGCATTACATAGCATAATTCATGATGATATTTTGTGAGAGCGTGGCCCTTCCCCGAATGAATGGACCCATGTGTGCTGCAACCATAAATAGCTATCAGCAGCATGGCTCTACCACGTAAAACATGTGACTTACTTCATTGTTGTATGTTAATCACTTAATCCTCAACTCACCATGTAGACCTGAGAAGGTGGAGCTTGGGCTCCCTCGAAGCCCACAAATTGCATCATGACGTCACCGTCCACTGTCAAGTGCGATATGCGCTGGTACGGAATACGATGCGGAAACTCGCAGAAGTGTACACCATTCAATGCAATCTGAACATTAAATTTATATATTCATATTTATAACATTAGAATTCCAGAATACAAGTGTCATTGTTGTCATATTTTTTTTACAATGTAGTAGTGATGTAAGAATATCCACTATATCATATCAACCCATGGGTGCCGTAAGAAGCGATAGATGGAAACAAATCAGGAGGATGGGCAGCAGCGTCTTCTTGGTAACGACTAAAAATAAAAAAATGCAGTTGCCAACCTGCTTGTCAAGCTTGGCTACTATGTGAAATATTCCCCCTATGAGGCAATCTATGTTCAGCAGTGGACTTATGAATGCTGTTTTGAATGAATATTAATTATATACAGTTATTTTACAAAGAGGAGTCAAATTTTCAACTTAAGTTCAAATATATAATATTACTAGCTGACCACCAGGCAGACGTTGTTCTGCCCTTTCCAACGACCATTTGCTTTCCTAAAAAAAACTCCTGAGATTAGCAATAAAAAAAATTGAGGGTCACTTATCGGGGTAAAAATTATCCTATCTCTCAAGTTGGACCAAACTGCACAGTGTGCAAAATTTCATTGAAATCAGTTCAATAGTTTAGGAGTTCATCGCGGACAAACAACGTGACACGTAATTTTTATATATAAAGATAATGATATACCGCTGCAGTTTTTGAAAATACGAGTAAATAAGGCTTCTACTTTTATTTGAAATTATCCCAAATTGAACAAGATTTATGGGCAACAAAATTTTTGCTTACACCAATCGACCCTTACGAATGTGTGCGTTAGCAGTAAAATCAGTTAAAATAATACATTACCATGCATTTTGAATTTAAAAAATAAAAAGGACAGAATGTTTGGAGATGTTTTTAAATTAATTTTTCTTTGCAACAGGGGTGTGTAGTAATAGACTTACAAAAGGGATGATAGGGATCCCTATAAGGCAATCTATGCAGGTCTGTGTTCAGCAGTGGACGTTAATTGGCTGTAACGGCAACAGTAATATCACTTACCTTCAAGGACTGTGGCTCGCAAAGCACCAAGGCTTCGAAGGCCTCGCCCCTCACCAGTGGCATACCACCAGCAGTTTCCTCCACACCCCAGTTCATGGCGGTGAGATGGTTCCGCACCACGCACATCTCGACGAAACGGAAGTTGAGATGCAAAGCTATATCGTCGCGGGGGTCCGTGTTCGGACCGCACTGGAGGTTGATCGCAAATCTGAAATTGATGCCAAGTTAGGCCAATGTCAGGAAAGGAGGAAGCTTACATTTCGATGATTTATGCAGGAAACTCTCAAAAGTTTAAGATTTTTATTAACCCTAGAATACTAATGTTAGTCAATTCGACTAACACTGCACCCAAATCTTGCTGTCTCTTTCTAATTAATGCGCCGCGCGACTTGATCATTCGTGTCAACTCAGTCGCCGGTCGGACGTTTACGGGAGTAATGGTGTCGAGCCGGTAAGTACAGCCATTTTGGAAATAATTCGTTTTTGTTAGTCGATATGACTAATGATTAGTATTTATGTAACTTTTGCGATAAATGTCTTTGTATTATTATCGTGAATTATTCGTTTGTTTATCGTATTTTGTTTCATTTTAGATTAAAAAATGACTTCTTCACGACCCAGTAACACACGTAATTATACGGACGAAGAGTTGGTGAGATATTTGAATGATGAGGGCAGTGATGGTGATGTGGAATCTGCTGGAAGTGAGACAGAGGACCAGTTAGAGATCGAGCAGGTGGAACAAACGGATGAAGAAGATAGGCCAACTGAGGTAATATCATCCAATGTATCTAACCCAGATTCATCTATAATATCCGAGGAGACTTCGACAACACAGGAGAGTACAGCCCAAGAGAGTAACAATTCTTCTCTTCGTTCAAATATCATCCCCTTTTCTCAGAGAGTTTTACGCGGGAGAAATAGGTATGTTTGGTCTACCGTAAGGCCCCAGTCCAATAGAACTTCAAGCTCTAATATTGTACATATATCCCGAGGTCCAACTAGTCACTGCAGAGGTATAAAAGGTCCGTTGGCATGTTTTGAATTGTTTATAACTGATGAGATCTTAGATGAAATATTAAATGGACTAATGCAGAGATAATAATAAAACAACAAAATTATGCTACCCTTCGAAGCACTCAGCAACCCACAGACAAGTGTGAAATTAGAGCACTAAATGGGATCTTCATACTTTCCGCTGTTCTCAAAGACAACCACTTGTCTACTGACGAACTTTTCGACTCATCTTTATCTGGTACAAGATATGTATCTACAATGAGCAAAGATAGACATGAATTTCTTATAGGTTGCCTTAGATTTTATGATAAAAATTTAAGATTATCTTCTCAAAGTAGGGACAGATTTATACCGTTTAGAAAAGTATGGGAGTTATTTATAGAAAAGTGCAGAACAAATTACCACCCTGGCATGTACATAACTATCGACGAACAATTGTTAGCCTTCAGAGGCCGATGCCCATTCAGGATGTATATACCCAATAAACTCGCAAAGTATGGCTTGAAAATAGTTATGATGTGTGATAATGGGTCAAAATATATGATCAACGCAATACCATATATAGGAAAAGCCACTGATACCGGGGGACTGCTCTAGGCGAGTACTTTGTAAAAGAGCTTACCCGACCCCTTCATGGTTCAAACCGAAACATCACAACTGACAATTGGTTTACGTCCATTCCTCTAGCTAAGTCACTACTTTGCGAGCCATACAAATTAACTATAGTGGGTACCTTGCGTTCTAATAAAAAAGAAATACCCAATGAGATGGTTAACACCAGAACTAGGGACATCAATGTTTTGCTATGATGGTCCTTTGACCGTGCTATTATACAAACCAAAACCAAACAAGATCGTTTATTTTTTATCATCCTGTTCAGAAGAAGGAACTGTCAACCAAGAAACCAAGAAGCCACAAGACGAATCGATGGCCTATGTGCACCTTTTATGGGATGTTAAACATGACTTTTATAAACAGCTACGTTATTTATTGTGAAAATAAACTAAATGCCAATGAAAAACCTTTAAATCGAAAACAATTCATGAAAGAATTGCATACAGCCCTTGTTAATCCTTACATGGAGAGATGTCTAACTAAGCCGACATTGCATAAAAAATTAAGAGCTAACATTCAAGACTTGGTTCCAGATAGTTCAGCAGAAAGTAGCACTAGTTCTAATGAAGCTTCTGGATTGAAAAAAAGGAAGATTTGTAGCTATTGTCCATATAAAAAACATAGCATGACAAATCTATGTGCTCAAAGTGCACTAAAAATATATGCGGCGAACATAAAGTTGAAATATGTGTCAACTGCAATAAAGACTAATAATATTTTTTTTATGTATTCATAAAACATTATTCTATAATATTTAACTTTATTTAGAGGAGGTTAAAGGTTTTTATTATTATTTTTTTAAAGTTAATGAGACTGATGTTTGGATCTCACTAAAATAATTCATAAATACTTTAACTGTGTTGATTACTTAATAAATATTTTAAACTAACTTTGCTTTTTATTTTAAATAAAATAAAATAAACCAATAATTAAAATAACAAATAATATATATGTATTTATACTATATAACTATTATTAAGTAGGTTTATATAGGTGTTAGTCGAAACGACTAATAATAAGTATTTCCGTATAAAAAATATGATTAGTATTCTAGGGTTAAGGAACAATAGTTTAATAAGGATAATTACTTTATATACATTATTATATATTTACGAAATCTTAATGATGATATACATTTTTTGTTAGGAGGGTACAACGATGATTGGATGGTAGGCTCGGATTTTCTTGCTCACCCTTGCATGACAGGTAAGTAAATGTTATGTAAGATATAAAGATGTAAAGAAGAATTAAGGCCTTTTTACTCTTTTTAGTGGACTAAGGACTAAGGTGTCTTCTTTTATAGGTGACAAACGAGCAGACAGTCAACCTGATGGTAAATGGATGCTGGGGCACATAGCCATCTCCATTTATTCTCAATTAATATTAAAATGCAGATGCGTTGTCACCCTTGAGGACTAAGATGAAATGCCTCGTTACCAATATGAAGGGTCTCCGCTTCTCTACACTCACCATACGAAACACAGCAGCATTGAGCTGCTATTTTACGCTGGTATACTGTGAGTGTGGTGCTTCCCTGGTCAAGCCGACCCATTCGTGCTACTACTATAATATAAAAAATGTTAAAAAAGGTCTCTGGTTCTCTACACTCGCCATAGGAAACACAGCAGCTGTTATTTCATGCTGGTATTCTATGCGAGCTTGGTTCTTCTATAGTGAACCAACCCATTCGTGCTACAGCCACAATAACACACCAGAAATTTAAATTGTACAAGTACTAAGAACTCACCTCTGCGCACCGGGAGGCACGTTGCCTTGAAACCTTATCATGCGGCCAGGGTACATGCCCCCGGGGATGGGATGCACGCATGGGATTACCTGTCAACAAAAAATATGATTTATTATAATAATTAGTGACCCGTCCCAGCTTCGCCTGGGAGGATAGGCTATGTATTTAGATTTAAGATCATTAAAGACTGCTTATTTTATCAATTTTTCGTTTTCTTTTTAAATGTCAAGTTTTACGGTTAAAATATTATAGCTTACATCAGTCCCGGCATTGCTCTCTATTTGTTGTGAAGTTATATTACAATTAGTTCAGCCATTCTATAGATATGCCCAATGTCCATACAGACAGACAGACAAACATCTTAAAATGGGTTATTGTAAAAGTTTTTTATTTATTTATATGCATAGAATAAAAACCTTCAAACAGAATTTCAGTCACAGCAGACAGTTTCAACAGAAGCTAGCCTTCTGCGCATTACAGGATTATATCCATTTTATGAAAAACAAGAAAGATACCATAATAAATGATCTCTTATTGAAATTTGGTTTATTTTAACAGTACCTATTAAGGCAGATAACAAATAAAATAGGTAAGGTTCAACTTATGTCAAAGAAAAGAAATGGATTGACCCCGACTCCACCTGGTACGAGTCTGTCCTACCCCTAGAGTGGTTTTATAGAGCCGGAGGCACGTAGGGAGAGCAGCCTCCACCTGCTGTAAGGAACAATGCCTGCGATTTGTTACGCAAAGGCGTAGGGGCTGCTCTTCCCGCAGTGCCGGGGACTTAGCAGTCTCAAAATAGATACAGAAATCCTTCTGAATCAGTCCCCCTATTTTTTTTATGATGAAGGGGATTTTTTTCTCATAAAATGGATTTATATTTACATTATAAATGCAAACATAAAAAATATAGATATTTAGAAATTGATTTTTTGTGAATTGCTACATCAGCTTACAATTCGAATCGATTTAAAAAAATCTAACTATTTCGGAAAGAATCAATATCCCTACTGACAATGACAATAAAAAATGGCATCAGTTTTACGGTAGCAATTGACATAAATATTGCAAAAATAATTGATTTTCAATAATTTTTTCCTCAAAAAGTACACATCTCCACATGTTGAAACTTTGTGTGTGTGCTTATAATAATGTAACCTTTCAAAAAAATATATCAACCCCCAACTCGACAGACTTCAATGGAAAGTCGTACCCAAGAGGATCCAGGATAAAGAAAGGAACACTTCAATAGTTTGGGCACCAAAAAATGAATTCATAGAGTGACAAGTGTTTTAATATGGTTCCATAAATTGTACTAAAACTTGAAGCACAAACTGTAACTTAATTATGAAATTTTGGGGGACTGAGTCTAGCAGGGGTTTTTCATCCTCCCTCTTCTCACCCAGCCTCTCAATTCTTGGTAAGGGGTAGTTAATTTTAAGTTCTTCCTAGCCTGACATTTACCATGATGATGAATACAGAAAAATTCATAATCTGTTTTAGAGGAACACCAATATTTAAGGTCATATGAAAAAACAAAAAACTAAATTCATAGCTCCCCACTAGTGTGTTTTCAATCAATTACAACAATTTAACAAGTTAATAAAAATATTTAATAGAATAAAATATCCTAGACAACATATAAAATAATATTCCATTTCACCATTGCTAATTTTACCTGTGTAATCTAAAGATACTATGTCTATTATGTTTCTGAATAAGCGTGTTATGCTTATTACCTACAATAAGCTATCTTATACCTGTCTTAATTTGGTGACAATTACGAATTATATTGCACAAGAGGAAAGTCATCATTATAAAGCTAAATCGTAACGCCCCGTCGCAGTAGAGCACCGGTAAAGCCTTTAAAACTGAAGAGTCATCAAGAACTATTTAGATTTTTGGTTTCTGATAAAACAATAGTGTACATTGTGTTTACATGGCAAATAACACTCGTAGAAAATATCGATGGTGCCCTTGAAATTGTTAACAAGAGGCGTATCCAAATTTGTTATTTGCGGTAACCGAAATTATACTTATTTTCGTTTACTAGAAAGAGATTACTTACAGGGTTGTAAATTGGTGGAGCAGCCATCTTCTCTATACGCTTCGACAAAATTGATTGCAAGACAAATTAACTGAGTTTACGCCTAAATACTATGGATACCAGACAAGCATTAATAAAATATTACGTTATCCAATACTCGACGTCGACGCACTAGAAAACTGTGGAAATTTAATGCGTCATACGTCATACGTCATACCCATAGGTCATACCAAAGAGTATAATAAGTATATACAGGTCATACCATAGGCTTAAGCCCGCCATACACGAACACGATCAAGTTTACCGTCAAGTTTGCAGCGCACTTGAAGCGGCATCCGGTAAACTTGACGGTGTATGGCTAGCAGTGTGCATGACAAGTCTACTTGAGTCAAAATTGTATTTCGATTCTGCCGTGCCGACTTGATCAAGCCTGCAAGCTTGCAACTCATTGCTAAGCCAAAACTTTATTGTTCAATGTGAGGAAGCTTAATATGCAACATCGAGGAAAATTAATATTATAACAACGTGAACGTCTTTGAAACGCAGATAATTTACGTACTTAACATTTTAACCGACGTCAAAAAAGGAGGAGGTACTCAATTCGACTGTTTTTTTAATGTGTTAGTTACCTCAGAACTTTTTTCTAGGTGAATCGATTTTGATGATTCTATTTTATTTGAAAGTTGGTGCTTATAATTTAAAAATCACATAATATAAATTTGATCAAGATCTGACTTGTAGTTTGGGAATTATCTTTAATAATGCGTATTTGTATTGAAGTCGGTTGTACAAAATTTTTAATTTCATTAGTTGTCTCTGTTCCTCTCTTTTTAAAATACTTTACCTCCACACTAGGATTTTCTTCTGTATCACAGGGACAGTTTTCATACATAGAAAAGATCCAGAACAATTATTTGTAGGTCATACAAATACTTGTTCCGTCCAGGATCCGAACCCGCGGCCCTTAGCACTGTAACTCATTACTAAGCCACTGCGCCACGGAGCCGTCACTTGTCTGTTTCACATTTTTTGCTATTTACTATTGAGATTATGTTTTTCGTTTCATTAACCAGTTTTTGCACCTCATCGAACGATCTTTCCTTTTTGTTTTCTTAATTGCGAACAATAAGCCTAGGATGCCTAACGCATCGTCGTCCGCCACTAGTGACGCCATGGTTTCAACCACAGAGTGCATTATATATAGGGAAGGGAATTGGTTTCAACTGATGCGGGTGCGGCATCATGCAAACTTGACGGCGAACTTGAACGTGAGAGCTCTATATGGATGCACTGCAAATTGGACGCCGCTTCAAGCGCGCTGCAAACTTGACGATAAAATTGATCGTGTATTGCATCCATTATAGGAATACATAGATTACTGTATATATACTAAAGTTGGCGCAAGAATTCCAGGGTTGCCAACTTTATATTTTAGGAGATCGTACGATAAACTGGAAAAAATCGTATTTAGCTAAAAACTCAATAAAAAAAATGTACTCATTAAGATTTCAAAAAAAAAAATGGTAAAAAATATAAATATAATGTTATTATTATGTTAAAGCAAAATTTAACATTGAGGTATGAAGTGTAGAGTACAAGGAGAACCATCTTATAAAGAGCGGAAGTTGTCAAGAAAAGTGTCCTACTATTTACTGAAAATAGAGGTTCCAAAACGTACCACAATAGCGCTGGCGTCTGAAAAACTACGATATGAAGATGAGCTGTTGTGAACGGAGTGAATTCAGCTGAATTAAAATATTAAAAAATTACATGACATAGTTAGTAAAATGCCAGTATACAAAATCTCAACTATTTACGTAGTACAAAACCAAGCGGATTGGTCGGTCTTTGTTTATATCTCCATCTTATTCTAATTACTTTTGGCCCTTATTGGACGCGTATTTAGAGACACTTTTCTTATATAGAGATGGTCCTCCTTGTACTCTACACTCCATACATTTAAGGTATAATATTTAAGAATCTGACACTAAACTAGAGCTCGTTCAATTTTGATGTTATTGATTTTCCATATCGATAAAATGAACCTCATCAATTATCATATTTGTTTTGTTATAAACATTATAAGATTTGAAAAGATCGTAAATTTTGCGTACGGTTTCGAATTGACGATCGTACATCGTACTAGGGCCAAAAAGATCGTATGAATACAATTTAAATGTTACGGTTGGCAACACTGAATAACTTTGCGCACGATTGATGGCGTACTTAATGTTACCAACCTAACAAATATTTTTTTCTTTCATTTAATCTTATTACTAAAATTATATAATTATATCAAATTACATAAATGACCGAATTGATTACCAAAGCTCAGTTAAAAAAAAACTGTAATGTTCAGCTTAAACTTACAAAGACCTAATCAATTTTAAACCCTATATTTATTGTTGATTCGCATAACAAATATATTTCTTGATTGTAACTTCCGTAAGTTTGACACTACACTACACAAGTTTCTATGGTAAGATTTAAATTAATATAAATTATTCCTTAAAAACATTTGAAAACGCTTAATTTATGCGTAAGAGTTTGAGAAAAAAAAACTAAAAACACGTTTCTCTTTTATTTTTAGTATTCTTCTCAACAAACCCTTTTATTTAATACCCATATCATGGGAATGCACAAAAAATAAATAGTTCTCTATCTTTGAGAGTCCGCCATATTGGATTTAGATGACGTCACTTAATTTCATCCAAACTTAATGTATACGCAAAGTTTCAGCTCCATCCAAAACCAAAAAGTTAGTAAAATTTAACTTTCAATTTTTTTTTACATATTTATAGGTGAAGATATTATATGCGTGTTAGAAATGACTATTATTATGATTAATGAAAAAAAAAAGTATTTTAAAAATATTTATTATAAAGAACGAAATTAAAAGTACATGGAAATCTTGTAAATCTTTTATTGAATACCTAGATCTATTTACAAATTTGGTGTACCAATGGTTCTGCAGTGGGGGTCAACGCCTTCCATTCGCACATCTTCATCAGAATCCATGCCAGTCTTCATCGGAAGACTCAGATGTGTCGCCTGTGACATTAATTATAAATTTATCCATTTCCATATCCATCAGCCTATCTGATTCGAAATATTTATCTCCTATTTTTTTTTACATGTAGACATACATTGAGCCATTCTTCTGTCGTTACTGTTCTGAACGCCACTTCAGTTATAGCAGCTATTTCGCTAGGAGCTTGAGTGATATTTCTCTGCAATGGGCCTCTTTACTATTACCCAATTATTTGTCCATCTTGGCAACGATTTGGCTATACTTGTGGACAAGCGCTACATTGAAGACGAGCATGTGTGAACACAAAATACATTCCAGTGACTAGCAGCGCTTTTTAAAGTTATTTAACAGTTTCTCACATTTTTAATACTTAATTATAATAGTTTACGATCAGCCAGTTAATAGTTTCACGAATTCTTGCATTATTCCATTAATATAACTGCGAGTCATGAAAATAATAAAGAAAACATGTTTGCTGTCGGAGTTTCGTTACATTCCCCTGACTAATTTTTTTTAAAATGATAGTGGAGCAGCAAATTGTTACACAGTGGAACAATAAAGCTGCGTGCATAACGAAGCATTCCTTTAAAATCACTTAGCATTTTTTATATTTTATTGTGTAATTAAAGTAGCCGCAAATTTATTTTTAAACTAAAAACTAAACAAAATGCAGATTGTAATATGTAATAGTTTAAAAGTTTTGTATTGTTTTGATTAAAGAAGCTTATTTAGTTTAATTTATTTAGCTTATTTAGGTTAATATATTTAACTAAGCAAAATAATTTCAATATAATGATTTCTTATATTTACGCGAACACTACACATTTAAATAAAACTAATTTTACGGATTTTATCGCGTATATTAACTTCTTTTACATTCCCGACGTTTCAAGCACTTTACAGCACCCATGGTCACAGAGGGGACTGAGGTGTATGACGTCCCAATGTCATAGTTAACCACGGCTACCTCCAGATTAAAAATGATTAATTTTTGTTCCGATCTACGCAGTATGAACTTACAGTATCATGAAGTCTTGCAGTTGTATGCTTGGGTTGGGATTTAATTTTATTAATTATGGGATCCCAAGCAGATGGTAGCACCCAGCCATCTTCTCTATTGAAATTAAGATGTTTTTTGATTTCAATAGCCTCGCGAATCATCCTTGGTAGGAATCGGTGTTCTTTAGCGAGGATTTGTGGTCTATCAAATCTAATGTAGTGACGGGTGCGATCCTGTACATGTTCACAGACTGCAGACTTCCCGGAGCGTCTATTCTTCACATCAGCTATGTGTTCTTTAACGCGGGTTTTTATGGATCTTTTAGTTTGTCCTATATAAGAGAGACCACATGCACATTCCAGCTTGTACACTCCTGCATCTTGCAGAGGAATATTACACTTGACTGATGGTAAAAACTGACTAATCTTCTTCGGCGGCTTGAAATATGTGGCTTGCACTGTGTGCTAAACCACCGAAGTTGTATGGGTTACCAAAAATACACAAGCCCAATGCTCCACTACGTCCTATAGTGAGCCAAATCGATTCACCAACTTACAGATTGGCTCAACACTTAGCTAATATACTCTCACCGCTCAAGGGACATACAAGAGCACACACAAAGGATTCCTACCATTATGTCAGCGAGATTAAAGACCTACATCTGGCAGACAATGAAACTATGGTGAGTTTTGATGTGCACTCTCTGTTCACCTGCCTACCTGTTGAAGACTGCATCTCGATTGTTACTAGAAGGCTAGAGGAAAACAACATGCCCGTAGAATATGCAGTATTACTCAGACACTGCTTTACATCTGGCTACCTATTGTGGAAGGAGGAGTTCTACAAGCAAGTAGATGGAGTGGCGATGGGCTCACTTGTATCTCCCATTGTTGCTGATATATTCATGGAGGACTTTGAGGAGAAAGCCCTGCTTACTTCTCCCGTAAACCCAAGATTCTACAAGCGGTACGTAGACGACACTTTCACAATTCTACCTTTAGATAAAGTAACTGCATTTTTAGACCATCTTAACTCCTTAAATTCTAAAATTCAGTTCACAATGGAGTTAGAGGCAAACAATTCTTTAGCTTTTCTAGATGTGATAGTAATTCGGAATCCTGATAACACCTTGAGCCACACTGTGTATAGGAA